GATGAAATTACTAGAGAAATACAAGGAGAGGTGCCGTGGNTAATTTTATGATTATATAAAATTATTGTGCCGTGGTGCATGTTGTTTGCTGACAATATAGTGTTAATAGGAGAAAATAGGGAGGAAATTAATCAAAGGCTAGAGGTGTGGAGATCAGCTTTAAAAAAAAAAGGGATTTAGAATAAGTAGGAGTAAGACAGTACGAGTTTGACTAAGGAGAACACGAGATAGGTGAAATAAGGGGACCAGTGACAATAAGCGAGGACGTGATAGGAGAGGTGGAGAGTTTTAAGTATTTACGGTCAGTTGTGCAAAAGAGTGGTGGTATTGACGAGGATGAAGACACAGGATTAAGTGGCGAAGTTTAAGAGACATGATGAGTTGTATGATGGGCTAGAAACAAAGGAAGGCGAGAAAGAAATCTATAGACTTGCAAAGATAAAAGAGAAAAGGTCTAAAGATTATCATTATATAAGGTGTATAAAAAGTGATGATAATAAGGTACTCTTGAGTGATGATAATGTGAAAAAAAGGTGGAAAGAGTATTTTGAAAAATATTTGAATGAGGAATACCCAAAAGAGACATTAGAGGATATCTCGTGGAATGAGGGACAGCTAGATTTAATTAGTGATAAAGAAGTATCAATGAAAAAGAATAAAGCAGTAGGACCAGATGAAGTGCCAGTAGAGGTATGGAAAATATTAGGCGGTGTTGGCATGAGGTGGTTGAAGGAACTTTTAAATAAAATCTTATTAGAAGGGAAAATACCAAATGAATGGTGAAAATTATAGAGGCATAAAGCTTATGAATCATAGTATGACAATTTGGGAAAAAGTAATAGATAAGAGAATAAGAAATGAGTCATCTGTATCTTAAAACCAGTTTGGTTTTATGTCTTATAAATCAACAAAGGAGCCAGTATTTTATGTGAGGCAACTAATAGAAAAGTTTAGGGAAAAGAATATATATATATATATATGACATTAAGTGAGGACGTGATTGGAGAGGTGGAAAGTTTTAAGTATTTAGGCTCAGTTGTGTAAAAGAGTGGTGGTATTGATGAGGATGTAAGATACAGGATTAAGTGCGAGTGGTTGAAGTGGTGAGAAGCGACTGGCTTCTTATGCGATAAAAGAATTCCAATGAGACTGAAAGGTATATTCTACAAGACTGTAGTGAGATCAGCTATGATGTATGGTTCAGAGTGTTGGGCGGTTGATAAGAAAGTAGAGCAGAGAATGAGTGTAGCAGAGATGAGAATGCTTAGTTGGATGAGTGGAGTGATTAGAGAAGATAAGATAAGAAATGAGCATATAAGAGGGAGTATAGGTGTAGTGTCAATCGTGGATAAGATGACACAAATAGACTTAGATTGTTTAGTCATGTTATGAGGAGAGAAGAATTGGAAGCTGTAAGAACAGTTATAGAAATTAATTTTGAAGGAAGAAGAGGTAGAGGAAGACCAAAAAAGAGATGGAGGGATGCTATTGAATGTGATTTGAGGACAGCTGATGTGAACGTAGATGATATGGGAGATCGTGTCAAGTGGAAGTTTAGGATAAGGATGGCCGACCCCAAGTAGTTGGGATTAAGGCGAGGAAGAAGAAGAAGAAGAATATGACGCACTCATAAAATTATTACATTTTTTTTTTCTGTAAGATTTTTCATAGTAATAATGTAATAATATATATAATTAACAGACACAAAGATTTAGTTATTATTTATTCAAAATTAGAATTTTTTAGTGAATAAACAGTTAATGATATTATTTCAAAAATTATGATAATTCAGAAGAGTTTAATTCAGTTTTTTTTTCTTGTAAGAGAAATTATTAAATACAAGTAGTCCTAATCAGATATCTTAATTTCTTATTTAAAAATTCAGTAATGTTTATTCACTAGTGATATTATTTTACAATTAGAATAAATTTGTGACAAAAGCATGTACAGGTTATTATGAAATAAATCACTAAAATTATTTATTCATGGATTTTAAGTTTTTATTAAAAATCATATTTTGAAAACATGCAAATTACTTCAATAATAGTAGCTCATGTTTGCTCATGCTCATCTTTCATGAATGATAATAAGACTAGTTATATAACATAAAAAAAGTTTTAATAAACAATTTAAATGACTTACCGGAGGTAAAACATGAGGCGTAGCATTTATTGCAAATTTTTTAGTTAATTCTTGCATGTTTATTTTAGATTCATTCCCTGTATTATCCTCGAGGGTTTCGCATTCATCGCTGCTACTACTACTTCCATAATCTTGTAGTTGCAACATTATTTCTTTTTGTGTATAACACCTTTTAATTATACTTTTTAACTAATAAATAAATCATTAATATTAATATATTTATAATACCTGAAAAATCTTTCATTAAAATACAGAACGCATCCTTATCATGCATCATTTTTGTTTGCTAACCGTTTGAAGTTAGAATCACAAAATAGATTAAACCTTATCTATTCTCTTTACAATCGTGATCATATTTATTTTATATATTATCACTCAAAGAAAATAATTATAAATTCGTTATACACTAACAGGTTTTCTATTAGAAAAATTGACAGATTTCTATTGAAATTATCATAGGACACAGTCTTTTTTTAATTATTCCAGCACCTGTAGCATTATTTCAAATAATTCTTGATTAAACAGTTTTACTTAGTTTTTGAATGTTATGATCAAACGATGTGAGCTCATTGTATATCTAATTAAATCAGTAATATCTATTATAAAATATTATGAGTGGAAATTTAAACAGTACTTTCAACTATGTTTATAGTTGTTCTTTAGAAACTAATGTTCAAATTAAAGTAGGCACCCTTGAGGGTATTAAACATAAAATTGACTATGAGAAAATACTTAGTGATCCCATGAAAAAATTCAATGGTTTATATCAAAAACCAATTTCTGATTTGATTGTATACTGTCAAGTTTATAGTGATGGTAAACCTTTAAGCCTACCTGTATCAACTTCTTACAAACATTTTACAAATCGCTGGAGTTGGAATGAATGGGTTGTTTTACCAATTCAATTTAGTGATCTCCCAAGAAATGCACTACTGACATTAACAGTGTATGATTGTGCTGGACCAAATACAATGACTGCTGTTGGTGGGACATCTATATCTTTATTTGGAAAGCATGGAGTATTCCGTCAAGGTATGATAGATCTTAGAGTGTGGCCTGATAGAGAAGCAGATAGTAGTATATTAGGTACACCTGGAAAATGTTTGTCTGATACAAATCGTATGCAGTCTTTGGCAAAATTAGCAAAACAACATCGAAATGGCAATATGCCTGAAGTTGATTGGCTAGATAGACTGACATTTAGAGAAATTGAGTTAATCAATGAAAAAGAAAAAAAAACATCTAACTTTCCATACTTAATGATAGAATTTCCAGAAATTCTATCAAACGGTACAGTGTACAATGTCGTTCACTATGAACAAGACGGTGATGAAATTTATCCTTTTAGAGTTAATCCTGATATTGTAACAGTACCTGATGCTGAAGTTATGCAAGAAAATCTGGTTGAAAGTAAACATCATAAACTTGCTAGAAGTTTGAGAAGTGGTATATCTGATAAAGATGCTAAACCAACCGCGACTATAAGGGATATGTTAAACACTATTGTAGGTTATCCTCCTACAAAAATGTTAACTACTGAAGAACAAGATCTTATATGGAAATACAGATTTTATTTATGCAACCAAAAAAAAGCTCTTACAAAATTTTTGGAATGTGTAAATTGGAAATTGCATGGAGAGGCTAAACAAGCATTAGACATGATGTACCAATGGGCGCCAATGGATGTAGATGATTCCTTACGATTACTTAGTCCTGCATTCAAACATTTATCAGTCAGGAAATATGCTGTAGAACGTTTACAACAAGCTACTGATGAAGATTTACTGTTATATTTACTTCAATTAGTACAAGCACTTAAATATGAAAATTTTGAACATATAACTAATAGTTTGAAATTAATGGAAGACAAATATCCTGTAACAGATAGTCTTACAGAATCTGTGTCAAGCTTAAGTTTAAAAGATAGTACTGAAAGTAATATACCTTGTACTATTAATCATTTTGAAATGTGTAAACCTGAAGACATGGACTTGGCCCGTTTTCTCATTCATAGAGCTAGTAAAAATTTTAGTTTAGCAAATTACTTTTATTGGTACTTGATGATTGAATGTGAAGATCAAGATTTAACTATTAAACAAGATATAAAAGTTCGTAACATGTATTTGAGTGTAATGAAAACTTTTTTAATGACATTATATAATGGTAATGCTGAATGTCAAAGAATTCATGCTAATTTAACTAGACAACAAAACTTCATTGATCGTTTAGTTCGCATTGTAAAGGCAGTTGCAAGAGAAAGTGGTAATCGAAAGAAAAAAATTGATAAACTTCAAGCCCTTCTTATTGAAGCTGATTCAAAGTTTAGCTTTATGGCATTTGATCCATTGCCTTTGCCACTAGATCCCAGCATTCTAATTACTGGTATCATACCTGAAAAAGCTGTACTTTTCAAGTCTGCATTGATGCCTTCAAGATTAACATTTAAAGTACAAGATAATAAAGAATATGTTGCCATTTTTAAGCACGGTGATGATTTACGCCAAGATCAACTCATTTTGCAAATAATTACACTGATGGATAAGCTTTTGAGGAGTGAAAATTTAGATTTAAAATTAACACCATATAGAGTATTGGCAACAAGTACTAGACATGGTTTTGTACAATTTGTAAATTCATTACCTGTAGCAGAAATTTTAGCAACTGAAGGTTCTATTCAAAATTATTTCCGTAAAAATCATCCAAATGATAATGCACTATTTGGAATTTCTACAGATATCATGGAAAATTATATTAAAAGTTGTGCGGGTTATTGTGTCATTACCTACTTGCTGGGTGTAGGTGATCGTCACTTTGATAATTTACTATTAACTTCAACTGGAAAATTATTTCACATTGATTTTGGATATATATTAGGAAGAGACCCTAAGCCATTACCTCCACCAATGAAACTTAGCAAAGAAATGGTTGAGGCAATGGGAGGTGTTAATAGTGAATATTATCACGAGTTCAGAAAACTTTGTTATACTGCATTTTTACATTTAAGAAGACACGCCAATCTTATACTTAACTTGTTTTCATTAATGGTAGATGCTAGTGTACCAGATATTGCATTAGAACCAGATAAAACTGTCGATAAAGTTCAAGATAAATTTAGACTAGATTTAGGTGATGAAGAAGCAGTACACTATTTTCAAAATTTATTGGATGTTTCAGTCACTGCTGTTATGGCAGTTCTTGTTGAACAGCTTCATAAATTTGCCCAATATTGGCGAAAATAAAATTTATTGTTTATAAATATTAATACTTTTATTTTATATGTTAAAATACTGGAAAAAATATAAATAACTTATATATGATGATTTTATTATTATATTGATATCTTATCTATATTATTGATGAATATTCAAAATTCAAGGCTGTTAGATAAAGTTGATAAATTTTTTTCTAGTTTTAAGAACAGAATGTGTTATTCACATCAAACTGTATTGAAGTCATTTTTGTTATAAGCTATGATATATTGTTAAGCAATCATATTTATTAAATTACTCATAGTTTGATATTGGTCAGTTTATTGTAAAATTTAAATAACTACAAATTGAAATGCAGTTTATTGCATCTGGTAAATAAATTTAAATAAAATATAATTATATTTTTTGGATGAAAGTCACTAAATTGTATCTTGTAAACTATATATATATATATATATATTAAGATATTTTGTTTAATAATTTGTTTTAGAAGTTATATTATGATCTAGAGCTATTTATTTTTATAATGAATATAAAAATTTCCTATTTTATATTTATGTTACCTAAGTTTTAATTAAACTATTACAAATAATAAATACATCATTTGTATACTATATATTTTTTATATCTTTTACATAATAATTAATCTTTGAATATTATTTTACTAATTAGAACATCCTCATAAAAGGTACAACCCTTTGAAAGGTGAATGGATATTAGTATCGCCTCAACGTATGAAAAGGCCATGGGATGGCCAGACAGAAACTGTCTATTGTGATATGGGTCCAGAATTTGACCCAACTAATCCCCTCTGTCCGGGAGTAGTTAGAAGTAGTGGAGAAGTAAGGTTATTCAAACATGAAATATTATTATGTTATAATAATAAAATAACATTGTTATTTTAAGCAAACTCCATTTTATACATCAACATATGTTTTTAAAAATGATTTTCCTGCCATGCTAGAAAATACACCTGAACCACCTTTAAGTAATGATCCATTATTTCGCATAGAAGGAGTACAAGGAACTTGCAGAGTTATGTGTTTTCATCCAAAATCTAATGTGACTATTTCTTTAATGAATATTGATGAAATAAAGTGTGTAATTGATTGGTAGGTATTATAATTAATATTTAATCTATATTTGAACTAATTCACCTTGAAACTAACCTTGACCTTTAAAATAAAAGTTCAATTAGTTATTATATTTTTAAACATATTTATTGAGATATAATGACTTCTTAAACTCAAAATTTTGTATCAACCGTCCTGAAGAAATCCACATTGAAATGTTAGCAAATTTCATGAATATTTAATAAAACAACGCGAATATTTTTTTCTAAGAAGATATAACCCCCAAAAGTTTCTCTACTTATTTACTATAAGTATAATTATTGTTAAAATTAAAATTTAACTAAAAATATTTTTTTATTTGGACATTGATATTATTTCAGAATTACGCAAACAAAATGTGTAAATGCTAAAAGTTATAACTGTGTATATAATCTTTAATTCAATCAAGGAAAAAATGTTTTGTATTTTTTTAAATACACAAATATTTATTACCACTACTTTTTAAGTTATTTATATTTTATATATTTTACTATTTTATAGGTTTTTTGATTAAAAGTTAAAATTATAAGCATTTTAAATACACTGATATAATAAAAAAAGGGCTATAGAAAATTTTATTGCTGAAATTTAAAATAAATTAGTTAAATTTAATTAAATAGTTGACAAAATTAAAAAATGTTTAGTTGGGTGGAGCAATTGAAAGACTTAGGAAAACAATATACATGGGTGCAAATTTTTGAAAATAAAGGAACTATGATGGGTTGTTCTAATCATCATCCACACTGTCAAATATGGTCATGCTCGTTTTTACCAAATGAACCACATATAAAAGATATAAATCAAAAAAACTACTTTGTAAAGTATGGGCGTCCAATGTTGATGGATTATGTTGAACGTGAATTAAAGGCCAAGGTAATAACTATATAAAATCAAAATGATTAACTAAATCACAAAAATATCTTTGTTATTACAGGAAAGAATTGTTTATGAAAATTCAAATTGGGTTGTATTAGTTCCATTTTGGGCTATATGGCCTTACGAAACAATGGTTTTACCTAAGAGATGGATTAAAAGAATGAATGAGATTACAGATGATGAAAAAACTGATTTGGCTTTAAGTATGAAAGTGTTAACAACTAAATATGATAATTTGTTTAAAACATCATTTCCATATTCAATGGGCTGGCATGGTGAGAATAAATTCTATGTTTTATTAATTAAGAAGGTTGGGTTAAATCAACTCCATATATGAATTAAATAATCTACTGTTTAACACCTCTATAAATAGCAGCAATTAAAAATTCCTTTTAAAAGAAAGCTTTATAATCAAAAAATAAAAAAAATTACTTAAAAATACTAATTAAAACTTTAAAAAAAATTTTAAAACGCCTAACTTAAAATGTAACAAAAATATTCTAAGTAAAAATAATCTGTGAATACTGAAAGTGCAAAAGGGCCAATCTCAAAAAGAAGTTTTGACTTTTCACAAGAGTTTTTTGTTTTTAATATTTATTCTAAGTTTAAGTCAACTTTAATGCTAGATACTTGCATATTTAAATAGAGAATATATTATATTGAATTAGTATGATCATTGTCATTAAACAAATAATGTTAGTGAACAATAATTTTTAATTAATTTTTAAAAATGTAATGTCAAATAACTCATTAAAAAGCTTAAATCTAAAAACTTTTTTATACTAAGATACATGAAAAAATCCTATTTATTTTAATCGACCAAAAAATATTTTTTGAAAAATTTATTGTATTAAGCACAATTTTATTAGTTTGTCAAAAACATATAGAGAGTTGATCCAAATAACTACTGTAACATACAGCCTCGTATTTTAAGTGACTATTGATAGTCTTTTTTTAAAATAAATTTTAAGGTGCTCCTACTGGCTCAAACTGGGATGGATATGATCACTGGGTGTTTCATGGTATATATTTGCCACCTCTTCTGCGTTCTGCTACTATAAAGAAATTCATATCAGGGTAATTATAAAAGTATATTGTTTGTATTTAATACAATTTATTAAAAAAACATTTGAAAACAATCTAGCAGGTAGTATCTACAACTACAGTGTTTATTAAAAATTAGACATGATATCTTATTTCTATATTTTCAACTGATCCGTTTTGATTAAAATATCACAGCCATAATATTGTTCCCTAAAAATGATATTACAATATATTTTATGAAGGAAATTTTATGTGGAAATATAAGGAGGCAAATCAAAATCATAATATAGATAATATTATAGTAATTAAGGCCCAGAATTATATGCATTTATAATATCCAGAACAAATCACCAGCCAATACAAATTTTAATTGACTTAAAAACTTAATAGTGTCCTGGTACCGTAATTATAGTTTTGATGATTAGGATTGTTTATCCCCCCTAAAACAAAAAATATTTCTATGCTACTATATAATCCTACAACAATATTACACAAACTTGGAACCCGTCATAACAAAATTTATAAAAGCATATAATATAACAAAGTATTAACAAAATAAAACCCTGTGAATAGGGGATAAGGATATTTCCACAGCCCTTCTACTACCAGTCGTAAGAGGCGACTAATGAAATTGCATCAAATTGACACCGGTATAAATTTTGTCAAAAAATATTAAGAGTCCTACACAGAACCTAGGCTCATTGTACCATCTCGGATGTATACGGAGACAACAGGTGAGAAGAAATAAAGTAGTTAGAAACGATGAAGAACTAAAGAATAAAGTGATACCTGACGGATAACTTGTGCAGTAGCTGTTTCACCAGTCATGTGTACAGGCTTACCCAACGCTTAGTGTTGTAGGGACATCATCAGTCAACTCTAAGCTGGACTCATTTATAAAAGAGAAAGATAGATACAAAGTAAGAATAGGTATGTGAAATGTTGTAATATTAACTGGTAGAAGTAGAGAATTATTAGAAATATAGAAGAGGAGAAAAGTTAATATTTCTTGTGTGTAGGAAACTAAGTGGAAGGGAGAAAAATCATATAACCCAACCACCCCTGTAGGCAGGTAGAGTCAGGTTTTTTAAAAAAAATTATATCAAATGAAAGGAAAATACCTAAAGTTTTAATATAAAAAAAAGTTAGCACAATGGGGTCGCGGCACAGTGTAGACAAATATAGTATAAATAATTGTTACTTTTATGGCAAACGTGTATCAAAATTGAAGGGCTTAATACATAACTTTTTAGACAATAATTTATTGTTAATTACAAATAAATAGTCTACAAGAAATTTTCATAAGAGTCAAAAATATACTTTTCTTGATCAGTTTTTCACATTGATTTTAAATGTGCAATTAGTTTTCTAATCTTTGATATTATAACTAATATTTAAAAATGAGTATTAACATATAAAAAATATAGGTTAAAATAATATTCAACAAAACAACAGCGGACAAAATCATAGATACTAGGCACGAAATATTTTTGAATTTCAGTATATTATAGAATACTACAGGATATAATTATACAGAACATAGTTCTGAATATTTCATTTGTATCAATTATTTAAACACCAAGAGTTACATGGAAATGCTAAGTATTTCTATTCAAATGATTTCTCTCTCTATGGTTTCAATCTGTAGATTGGTTTGCAGCCATCTTCCAGTCTTCCCTCTTATACGCCTTCCTTTTCATTTCCACATATGAGTCACATCCTTGGTCCTTTATTATCTGTTGAATGAATTCCAATTTTGGTTTACACCTACGGTTCTTTCCTTCTACTGTTCCTTCTATTATCAATTTCAACAATCCTTCGTGTCTATTATATGACCTATCCATTCGTTGTGTCTTCTGACTATGTTATTCCATAGTAACTTTCCATCTGATATTCTTTCCAGTACTTCTACATTGGTTACTCTGTCCATCCAACTTATCCTTAGCATCCTTCTATAGCACCACATTTCAAACGCCTCAAGTCTTTTTTTTTTCTTCCATTGCTATTGTCCAGGTTTCACACCCGTACAGAGCAATGCTCCATACATACGTCTTTAATAGGTTTTTTCTTATTTATAGACTCATGCTTCTTGATATAAATATAGTTTTCTTTTTGTTAAAGGCTATTTTAGCTTGACAAATACGTTTTATAATTTCACTTCTGTTTCTTCCATCCTTATTGATTGCGCTTTCCAGGTATGTAAATTCACCTACATATNTTGCGCTTTCCAGGTATGTAAATTAACCTACATATTCTATTGCTTGGTTTCGTATTTTTATCTGTATTCTTGTATTATTTTCCCTTTCACATACCATTACTTTTGTTTTCTTCACATTTATTCTCATTTCCAACTCTTTTTCGAATGTTTTATCCATAGCTTTAAATAGTTGAGCCAGATCTTTCTTGCATTCAGCAATTAAAGCTATGTCATCGGCAAAACGTAACATACTTATTTTTTGTCCGTTACTCTTTATCCCTAGGTTGGCATTTTCCTTTATCATATCTATTGCTTCTTGAATATATGCGTTGAATATAATTGGGGATAATGTACAATCTTGTCTAACTCCTCTGTTTATTTTTACTTCTTCTTCCTCATCTTGGATCCTTATAACTGCGGATTCATCCTTGTATAGGTTATACAGAAGTTTCCTATCTGTGTATTTTAACCCCAATCTTTTCATCATGTTAAACATTACCTTTCAATTTACGTTATCAAATGCTTTTTCGATATCCACAATAGCTATAAATGTTTGTTTGTCTTTCCTAATCCTTTTTCGAATGATTATCCTTAACGCCAATATTGCTTCTCTCGTTCCCATATTCCTTCTAAACCCGAATTGGTCTTCTATCAACGATTGTTCTATTTTACCTTCAATACGTTTGAATATAATCTTTGTTACTATTTTAGAGGCATGGGATAGTAAATTAATGGTACGGTATTCTTCACATTTCTTTGCTGCTGTTTTCTTTGGGATGGGGATAATTAGGCTCTTTACGTAATCTTCAGGCAATTCACCGGTTTCGTATATGACTTTGATAATTTGAAATAATTCCCTTTTAACTTTTTCTCCCGCCTCCTTCCAAAGCTCCGCTGTATTCCATCGATTCCTGCTGCTTTTTTATTTTTCAGATTCTGCAAAGCTTTGTCGAACTCTTCTCTCATAATTGGGTCTAATTCGTCATCTTCTTCAGATTTATCTTCTTCGTTTGATTCGTTAGTTTCATTTTCCTTAAGTGATTATTACATTCCTTATTCCATCATTCTTTAAAATGATTTATTACAATATAAATACAAAAAATATAATATACAAGTGATTTTAACGAATTTTTAGGTTTTTTCATAAATTTACTATTAATAGTAATTATATAAGTTCTTGACCATATATCAATCTAAGCAAAACCCTTTTTAGCTTCGATGCGAGTTTGAAAAGGTATTAATTTTACCAAGATGTGTTTTTTTTTTGTGTCTGTTGCCACTTTTTCTCAGTTTTCACTGGACTAATTTCTTTCAACAATATGTCAGAAGATCACAAATCGTAACTAGTTAAAGATATTACCCTTAAAAATTGAAATAATTTCCCTCATTCTCCGTAAATGGGAGAAATCTCCTAAAAAATTATCAAAATCAGTAATTTTTGAAACTTTTTTCATTTAACATTCTCTTACTTAAAACTACCATAACTTTTTTAAAAATAAATAAATCAACATATATTTTTTTATTAAAACCTTATATATTTTCCTTTCATTTGATATCATTTTTTTGAAAATCTAACATTTAACCTACTTACAGGGGGGGAATTTAAAATAACAACTTTTTACAAAAATTAACTTTTTCAACTTAACTTTTGAAAATGTTCCAGAAATATTCCGAGCTTCAAACATATGTAAAAATAAAGATCATGTTATGCACTTTAAGTTAAAATTATTTTTTTTAAAAGTTATGACAGCTTTAAATACCAAAATAATAGAAGGTGATTTTTTATACGAAAATTTCATTTGAGTTCAATTTTGACAGTCATTTGTACATAGATCATAGGTCAGCAAGATCATTTTTTTTTAAATTACAGTATCTAATGAATGCTTTAACATATGTTTAAAAGAATCAGTATTTCTAGAAAATTTTCAAAAGTTCTACTTTTTACTCAAATATTTCAAGATTTAAACCCTCTCTGTATAAAAGGAAATAGTCCGATTTAACAATAATTATGTCAAATAAAAAGAGTAAATATAAAGTGTTAAAATAAAAAATTGTGTTGAATCATACATTTTTCAAAAAGTTATAGCAATTAAAATTTAGAAATATAAAACCAAAAATTTTAACATAAAAATAGCATGTGCTTTCAACATTTTTTATTTTACTTATATCAGAAAAAAAACCTTTCTGAGCTTAATTTAATAATTTATCAATAACAATCTGATACTTAAAATTAAGTTCTATTTGCAAAATGTTTATATTTATTATTTTGAGTTTAAAGTATCATCCTAAACATATTCACCATAAAATATTAAAGGATTTATAATTATTATTTTTTAGATTTGAATTGCTAGCTCAATGTCAAAGAGACCTCACGCCTGAACAAGCAGCAGAAAGACTGCGATTACAATCAGATGTTCATTATTTACATTCAGATAAATAATTATTTGTATAGATGTGAAGGAAATTTTGTTTTTCAAAATGTTTCATTATCAATTTCTTCATCTTTATGTTATTTTAGAAATAAAAACTTACTTATTTACTTATGAATTAAGATTTCTAAGTTAATTTGCTATATTAATATTATAATCAAATATAGAATTTTCTATATTATTATTGTTTAAATAAATATTACAGAAACAAAAATAATATTTAAAGATTTCAAAGTACAATAATAAAAGGTATTTAATTAACTATGACTTATGCAAAATCTTTAAAAATGTAAAACATAATTAATTTAATAATAATTAAATAATCTAACTAAGAAAATGATTAGTCAATAATAACTTTTGAAGCAGTATTTTAAAAGATGTTAGCACTATTAAACAAGAACCGGAGGAGTAGAGTGGTGTATATATGTACAGAGATAAAATAAACAGACCCACTTTACTTCAAATTAGTAGTATATTATTAAATTCTGAAAAGAAAAAATTATGTTTTATGTTACTAAAGATTTTGCATGGAGCATAGTTAATAAATCACTTCATGTATCAATAAAAATATACTAAGGACATTAAGTATGATTTTCATTTTCTATATACACACTTTTAAACAATATATAGGTAGATGTACAAATAGTATAGAAAAAATGAAAATATTGGAAAGCAAGCATCCTGTAACATATAGTCTTACAGAATCTGTGTCAAGCTTAAGTTTAAAAGATAGTACTGAAAGTAATATACCTTGTACTATTAATCATTTTGAAATGTGTAAACCTGAAGACATGGACTTGGCCCGTTTTCTCATTCATAGAGCTAGTAAAAATTTTAGTTTAGCAAATTACTTTTATTGGTATTTGATGATTGAATATGGAGATCAAAATTTAACTATTAAACAAGACATAAAAGTTGGTAACACTTATTTGAGTGTAAAATTTAGATTTAAAATTAACACCATATAAAGTATTGGCATCAAGTTCAAGACATTGTTATGTAAAATTTGTTAATTCATTACCAGTAGCAAAAATTTTAGCAACTGAAGGATCTATTCAAAATTATTTTTGTAAAAATCATCCAAATGATATTTCACTATTTGGAATTTCTACAGATATGGTAAACTACATCAAAAATTGTGCCCCATATTTGTGTCAAACTGCCTAATTATAAATAATGTCAATGTATCCTATAAATATTTATAGTTTTTTTTTTACATAAATATATGATTAATTTCATCCATTTTTTACCAAAAATTACTACTTGTTTAACATGAAAATCTTGAAAGAAATTATATATTTTATTTTTAACCAAAATTTATGAAGTTATTTTAGATAAACCAAAATTTTTCTAAAAATAATAAAATTAATTTATTGTATTTACATTTAAATGAATATTATAAACCATCATTAATTGTGTAATGAATACTGCAAAGGAGATTGTTAGTGAGAGTAGGAGTAGAATGCCAGGTAACAAGGAGACCTGGTGGTGGGATGAGGACGTTCAAAAAATCATAGAAAGTAAGAAAAAGCAATTCAAAGTATAGCAGAAGAGCAAAGGAGAGAAGACTGGATGGAGTATAAACGCGTGTGCAAAGAAGCCAAGTGTACAGTAAAAAAGGCGAAGTTTAAGAGGTATGATGAGTTGTATGATAGACTAGGAAGATAGGAAAGCAAGACAGAAATCTATAGACTTGCAAAGATAAGAGAGAAAAGGTCTAAAGATTAGATAAGAAAGTAGAGCAGAGAATGAGTGTAGCAGAGATGAGAATGCTTAGTTGGATGAGTGGAGTGACTAGAGAAGATAAGATAAGAAATGAGCATAGAAGAGGGAGTATAGGTGTAGTGTCAATCGTGGATAAGATGAAAGAAAATAGACGAAGATGGTTTGGTCATGTTATGGGAAGAGAAGAATAGGAAGCTGTAAGAACAGTTATAGAAATGAATGTTGAAGGAAGAAGAGGTAGAGGAAGACCAAAAAAGAGATGGAGGGATGCTATTGAATTTAATATAAGGACATCTGATGTGAGCGTAGAGGATGTGGGGATTTTGTCAAGTGGAAGTTTAGGATAAGGGTGGCCAACCCCAAGTAGTTGGTATTAAGGCGAGGAAGAAGAAGAAGATTATAAACCTATTTGTTGTAGTTAATAAAATTAAACCTTTTATTTATATATATATATATTATAATTTAAAAAAATTTTAATATCAATTAGTAAACTGGAAAATTTGTATCTATTTTTTTACTCCATTCTTGAAGGCCTCCAATAACATCTTTTATACAGTTAACTTTGCTTAATAAAGCAGTATTTTTCTTTAGCTCAATCACAGCTTTTTGGGAATCATTTCCTCGACGACAAATTGCAACCACTATATAAAAAAAAATTCTTTAATATTTATAATACTAACACATTATCTAACTACTAACAATTGGGTGCTTTTTTATAACAAGTATTAATTTTTTCAATCAGTCTAGAGCTAAATAAATCAGTATTAAGATCTTCCAACTGAATATTTATAGAAAATGGCAAGTGACACATTTCATACTCATTATTTTTGCGCACATCAATAACAAGTAATGGTGTATTTTCTGATACTAATTTTTTCAATTCTTTAACTGATATTCGCTCACTATCTTCAAGTAAGTTTAATATTTTAATCTAAAAATATTAATAACTATTTTTATCTGAATATTAAAATTTTTAAGAAAATTTTACTTTATCGTTAGCTTTTGATCCACAAAATTCTTCATAATCCATGTTAATTAATATTTTTTCAGAACTTTTGGTACAAATACATCCTTCTCTTTTACCATTACCTAATTTAATTCTTTTAAAATCACAATCACCACCATCATATATTAGTAAGTTATTGAATAAAACATTAGGATGGTCAATAATTATTTTGATTGCTTCCATTGCTTGTAAAACACCAATAACACCAGGAACTGTTAAAATTAAATGATAAATATGATTTATAAAATATTAAATTTAAGTGATATCAAACCTGGACCTATAACTCCAGCAGAAGAACAATTACCAACTGTTTCAGGAGGCTGTGGCTTTGGATGAAGACATCTGAAGCATACTGAGCCTTTATAATTATAGACAGCTAATTGTCCATCAAATTGAATAGCAGAACCTGAAACTAATGGCTTTCCCATCTTCACGCATGTATCATTAATTATATATCGCGTTACCAAGTTATCACTTGCATCTAATATTACATCATATTTATCAATAATTTCAACCGAGTTATTAGCATCTAACTGTACATCATGAGTAATAATTCTGACATCTTCATTTAAGCTATAAAAATATTTTTGTTAATATGACAATTGTATCACATATAAAAGAATAGTCCTTAAAAGCATACAGTATCATTAAAAATTTTAAAGAAATATTTCAAATTTTTCAATAATTATTAATATTGGCAATTAACATTGTTTTATACTAACTGTTTTAATGATAATTTTCCAGATATAACTTTTTTCATGCCACAATTATTTTGTGCATGAAGTAATTGGCGATGTAAATTATTTACTTCTACAATGTCATAATCAACCAATCCAATTGTACCTACTCCAGCACTAGTTAAATACATTGATGATGGACAACCAAGACCCCCAACACCAATAATCAATACACTTGAAGCTTTCAATTTCTTTTGTCCTTAAGAAAAAATACAAATCTATAGCAAGAGTTAAGAATAAAAAATAATTATAATGCACCTTCAGCACCAACTTCAGGTAAGATCATCTGCCTACTGAAACGGCTTATATCAGATGAAGTCAAAAATTTTTTCTAGAAAACATAAATATTGTAAATTTAATACTACTTACGGTTATTTTTTATTGTTTTCTTAATCAGGTTAACTTAGACAGAGAAAATTTTATTGTCAATGAAAATGCCCTTCTCCCGCAAAATTTTTAATAATGTATGTAACCTTTTTGTCTTCCAGAAGTTTTGTTTTTTGAGATAATTCTTCATTAAGAGCTACAATTTCTGCAGTTAATTGAAGTATTTCTGTGTCTTTATCCATGATAAAAAATCTTTCTGTAATTATCTTATTACAAAAAAAAATTTATTACGTAGGAAATTTTAGAAATTATTGTAATAATTTAAGTTATTTTATGTCTGTTATTATTTAAATAATGCTACATCTAATTTATGAATTAACGAAATCAATAGATAACCGATTCTGTTATTCTGTTATTGTGCACGTGGTTGAAAACTGATGTGATAAGCGTATGTATCTTCAATTATAAACTCATGAAGTGTAGATTAATCTACAATGAGAAGCTAATATCTATGCCTTCAACTATATTAAAATAGTTAAGTATAGAATCAAACTTAGATAAAATTATACTGCACTAATTGCACTGTAATTAGCCTTATTTCTTTGGTTCTTTTTATACTGCCAAATATAATCACGTTTATAGTTTTAAATCTTTCAAAACTTAATTAAAGTTAAAGGTTAAACTTATAATGTGTATATAAACCCGTTTTCATAAGTACAGATTACAAACTTTTATTGGAGGAGGTAAAAAATATATTTACTCTCCAATTACACATAGTTTCCTAAGAATCATATCTTTAAAACTTTATAGTAGTAATGAGTTCAGTCAAATTCTAAAGAACAAAAATAAATTTTGAATCTGGCAGGGTTGTTCATAAAATACAACTTAAGCTTGCAACACGTATACTCAGTGGTGCACTTTTTTTTTTTTTTTAATTTTTTGAAAAATAATTATTTGGTTGTAAGTTAATTAAGTTAGGAGACCCGCATTTATAATTTAGTCAGGGCCGGAACTGACAGCTTAATCCGTTAATAGTTTAAAAATAAGATAATCTTTATTTGAAGCAAATGATAAAAAGTTTTTAAATCATTTTATCATATGATGAATTTTTATTTTTTACCATCATTTTTATTTCGGCAGTAGAAGACTTAAAAATGTATTTTTTCTTATGTTTATCAAAGTTTTTCAAAGTTATAAAAGAGATGCAAACAAAAATATTAACAACATTTAAAAATAAATTAAAAACCTTTCGAATAAATCCATTAACGAAATATACATACACTTTTAACTTATCGAAAATGCTACTAAATATGAATAAACATCAGCTAGGTTGCTTAATTTACGTGAGCAGCAAAGTTAATAATAGTTTTAAAGGTTAATTTTTTACATTGATTAATAGCATTATTTTTTTGAGTAATTTTTTAAGGAAGATTCAAATTAAGAAACATTTTAAATATTAACTGACTTAATAATACTAGAAAATTCTATAAACTATTAAACACATTTACTTTATTAAATAATACTTTTAAAACAATGAACAAACGGTCAAAAATAATATTTTTTAATGAAAAAAAAATACCTAAAAAATGGTTTGTAATAAACATTAAAACAAGTTTAGAAATTAAAAGTAAATTATTCATATTATAGTATAAAAGAAATTACAAGAGCACAAAATTAAATTAAATTTGACATAAATGATAATTGACGTAAAATTTATCAAGCCTATTTTTAAGTTTATTTCGCTCTATAACTGGCTCCAATTTTAATTATAAATAGTTTTCTTAAGTATTTATAACTAAAAAAAAATTTTGTCAAATGTAATAGATGTGATTTCATCCTAATAAAGGTTAGATCTTTAATTTATTATTTAATAGGTCAAAAGTTATTATTATTATCAGCGAAATGGATATTGATAACTGATAAACGTCGGATTTTTTTTAGTAGTTTTAAAATGTGAAATATTTAGTGTACACTAAGTCTGGCTAGGTGTTATAAATAAAATATTACAAAAATCAAAAACAAATCTTTAAAGAATGATTACTCTAATGAATAAAAAAGCACCTATCAGATTAGCTGGTGAAATAGTTATAAATTTAACTCTGGTATTGCAAATACATTTTTAGTTACACTCCGATGTTAATTAATTTATGTTTTTTTAGCGATCAAATTTTAGTTGTTGTAAAAGATTAGGAAAACAAAAAGTGTATACATCTGTGAGTCATGCATTAGAAGATGTTAAACCAGGCAGTACTATCCTTTTTGGTGGTGAGTAAAATTATGTAAGATAATTAATCTTGCTATCTACAAATAAACTTGAAATCTTAAAAGTACAAGATATTATATTTAAATTAATGGTAATTTACAAAAAATATATCATTCAACAAAATACTAAAAAATTTAATTTTATTCAAATCAGATAGAAAATGTTTAATATCCCATTTGTAAAGTACAACATATGAGGCATGATTTAATATATAGTAACAGTTCTATTGTATATAACTTAATGTACTTTAAATGTTATAAAAATTAATTAAATAATTTGTTTTGTTTGTTTTCCTAAGGAAATTCAAGTTATATATCACACATTACTTTACTGTATTGTTTCTGAAACAGCATAAATAATTCTTTTCTCTTAAATCTTAAAAACTTATCTTACTAATTTTAAACCACATATTTAAGTGTTTTATAGTAATAAATTGTTTTTAATTCATTAACTGGTTATTTACAATTATTTAGGCTTTGGTCTGTGTGGAATACCTGAAAAACTAATAGATGGTTTAGTTGAGCGAAAGGATATTAAAGACTTAACTGTTATAAGTAATAATGCTGGTATTGATAATTTTGGTTTGGGAAAACTTTTAAAACAAAAAAAAATATCTAAAGTAATTGCTTCATATGTTGGAGAAAATGCTGAATTTGAACAGCAATATTTAAATGGAGAACTGATTGTTGAACTTACACCTCAAGTACGTATTATAGTCAAAATTAAATTGATTTTTTATTGAACTCGCATATTAATACTATAATTAATAAAATATTAGAACAAGCTGAAGATTTTTTATTGGCTTAAAAAAATTATATGAGTGATAGATTAAGGATCATCATCATCATTTATTAAAGACAATGTCTTGTCGTTGAGCCACTCTTCTCTGTTTGACATTAAATTCTTCAGTGTAACAAAAGATGCACAGTTCATGAGTTTCTTGGATGTTTTCAAAATATTATTTCCTTGGGTGTCCTCTTGGTATTTTCCCAGTTATTTTTCCTTCGAAGATATTCATTGTCAATAGATTAAGGATTTTAAGACATATTTTTTCAGAAGTTTTTTAATATATTATTTTCAAAAATTTACAAAAATATATAATTAAATAATTTGTTTTCGTCCTGTTAGGAATAAAAATCTAAACTTTAAATCTTTTTAACCTTCTATTTTAATTTGATTATATGATACAAAAAAAAAAAATTTTTTTTTATTCAATAACCTTTTACAATTTGAAATAATCAAATATTTGGATTTAAAATAGAAACTTATCATTAATTTGATTTTCATAATACTGGAGGTAACAAAAATATATTTAAATGGCACATAAATTATTACCAGTATTTATTCTTGCTGTTGTAAGTGACAAATATGATTACAAGAATTATTATTTTCATACTTAAGCAATTAAATATTGCTATAATAAATATTTTTCATATATTATACTTCTAAATCAAAGAACTACTAATTAGGAATGATGAAGTAAATAGAAATTAATTTTGTTTTTGATAAAATCCACCATTTTCTTAAAATTAATCACTGTCAGATATCATCTATATTTATTCTAACTATGACTTGTCCACAATGTGCCATTGTTTTTTATATTTTATTTTTAAATTAAAATTTTAAATAATATTAGCCACAAGTGTTGAATTTTTATTATACAATTTTTTTCTTTATGAAAATTTTAAATTTTCAATAGTTCTCAAAATATGAATATCTTACCCTTAATCTATCATTCTGTAGATGAAATTCATAGACAGTTGGGTTGCAAAATAACCTTTGAAATATATAAATATAATATTTAAAATTTTTTAATGTAAATTGTAATCATAAAATTTAAATAAAACAAAAATTATAATAATGACAATGAATAATATTAGGGTACCTTAGCTGAAAGAATACGAGCGGGTGGTGCTGGAATTCCAGCGTTTTATACTCCAACTGCTGTTGGTACTCTTATTCAAGATGGTGGTATTCCATTGAAGTATATACAGCATAAGGAAAATGAAGAGAATGATTCTAATAAAAAAAACAACAAAAAAGGTCTTGTAGAACTTGCTAGTGATGGTCGAGAAACTCAAGTTTTTAATGGACAAACTTATGTAATGGAAAGAGCGATTACTGCAGATTATGCAATTATTAAAGCTCAAAAAGCAGATCATGAGGGAAATTTAGTATTCAAGTATTATAGAGAAGTGAAATTTAGTTTGATTAACTTTAATGTAAATATTTATTTTAGCAAATCAGCTAGGAATTTTAATTCGGCTATGTGTGCTGCAGGCAAAACAACTATTGTAGAAGTTGAAGAGATAGTCAGTACGGGCTGTATTGACCCTGATCAAGTGCATGTTCCAGGAATTTATGTAGATAGAATTGTTTTAGGCAAAGATTACGTTAAGAAAATAGAAGTAATTTTTAATTAATAAAACAAATTATTATTGCTTTGATATTTTTACTACATTTTTTTTATGCATATAGAAAACTGTTATAGCAAAAAAGACAGATGATAACATAGCAATGCTATCTATCTCTTCTGCTGCTCAATTAAGAGAACGAATTATAAAACGTGTTGCTTTAGAATTTAAGAATGGCATGTATGGTATCCTTTGAAAACAAAAAATATAATTTTATTAAGATTTATAGATATAAATATCCTTAAAAATGTTTAATAGTCAATTTAGGAATAGGAATGCCAATGTTAGCCAGCAATTATATCCCAGAAGGTATCAATGTAATACTGCATAGTGAGAATGGAATTCTAGGTCTTGGTCCTCATCCATCATCTAAAAAATCTATTGACCCAGATTTGATTAATGCTGGAAAAGAAACTGTTACAGTTTTACCTGGTAGCAGCTTTTTTAGTAGTGATGAAAGTTTTGCAATTATCAGAGGGTAAATATAGTATTAAAAAGAAAAAATTGCTCTGTAATAGTTATATCGTAGCTCTGCATTTGTAATGTAGGGGTCATTTGGATTTAACTGTACTAGGGGCAATGGAAGTCTCTCAATTTGGTGATTTAGCTAATTGGATGATTCCAGTAAGCAACTGAAATACATTTTTTTATTCAAAATTTAATGTTTGAATGTATTATTTTGTATTTTAAGGGAAAACTAGTCAAAGGTATGGGAGGTGCAATGGACTTAGTTTCAGCTCCTAATACAAAGGTAATTGTTGCTATGGAACATACAACAAAAGATGGATCACCAAAAATTCTACCTAACTGCACATTACCATTAACTGGTAGCCAATGTGTTGATAAAATAATTACTGAAAAAGTTAGTAATAAATAATTTAAATAATAATATTTGGCATATTTAAAATTTTTCGTCATAATTTATTTGTTTTCATAAATATAATTGAATACTAAAATTTAAGACATAAGTATATGATGAAAAATAATTTTTTTTAAATTAGTATGCTTTACCTTTAATAGATTACTAACAATGTAATTGCTAGACGACATCCCAAAAAAATTAGTATAGAATATAATTAAAATAGAGAATAGTTTAAAAGTTTTGAATCTAACCTTTATACTGAGCATTTAAAATTTTATAATATATGTATTGAGTTAAAATTGAAGATTATGATTTAAATTTATCTCTGAAATGTATAATTTATGTTTTGAAATTTTAATTTCTTGGAAATCAAAATATTGAGAAAGCTATTTTTCTAGCTCAGTAGAATTTATACATTATTAAAATTATTCTCGAGCAGTTATAATGATCGTTTTTTAAAGATTTTTATTTATACATTTAATTTATGATTGTAGTGCGTCTTTGAAGTCGATCCTCAAAATGGACTAACATTGGTTGAAATAGCAGAAGGTGTAGAAATTATTGATATTCTTCAAAGTACTGGCTGTGAATTTGTAAAATCTGAAGACTTAAAAACTATGGGTCAAATTTAATGATATTTTTTTTTTAATAAAATTACAATTATTAATTCTTTTGTATATTTAATATTTAATGTATAAAAAGTATATATTGCATTTAATTTGTGTAAGTGTATAATGAAAAACATAATATCAAAAACACAATCAACTACCATTTCAAAACACATTTTTTTAAATAGAAACATAGTTCAATACAATTATGCTGGACAAGCATATAAAGTAAATTGATAAGACATATTTAATGAGAAATGTTAAAACATCTGACATATATAATACAATATTAATAATTCAAAAATAAAACAATAATTGCACAAAATGACATAAAAAAAATAATAGAAGTCTTTGGAACGCCATTAATATAATATCTACAAAGTGAGGGATCAAATAATATCTGATTTAAAAAGTGCTCACAAAGACATAAAAAAAAAAATTATAAATATCAAAAAAGTGATTATGTGCCCAAAAATTATGTAATATATGACGAGGTGACTAGTTTATTTTCATGCGTTTTCCATTACAATTAGTGTAATCTGAAGATGTTTCATAATCAATCAACACTGCAGTTGGTATGGTTTTCTAAAAAAAAATTTAATTTAATTTAAAACGAAATTTATTTATATAACCGTACATATATTATCAAAATAGATTATTAAAAAATCGAAGATCCGATGATGGAAATTGAAACGGGAAAATGAAAAAGAGTTTGTAAAGACGGTAAAAGAGAGAATGTGTGGAATAGATTTGCTAGTTGTGTAAAGAATACTGCAAAGGTGAGAGTAGGAGTAAAATGCCAGGATACAAGGAAACCGGGTGGTGGGATGAGGATGTTCAAAAAATCATAGAAAGTAAGAAAAATCAATTCAAAGTATGGCAGAAGAGCAAAAGGAGAGAAGACTGGATGGAATATAAACGCTTGTGCAAAGAAGCCAAGTGTGCAGTAAGTAAGGTGAAGTTTAAAAGGTATGATGAGTTGTATGATAGGCTAGGAACAAAGAAAGGCGAGAAAGAAATCTATAGACTTGCAATGATAAGAGAGAAAAAGTCTAAAAATTATCATTATAAAAGGTGTTGATAATAAGGTATTCTCGAGTGATGATAATGTGAAAAAAAGGTGGAAAGAGTATTTTGAAAAATATTTGAATGAGGAGTACCCAAAAGAGACATTAGAGAATATCTCGTGGAATGAGGGACAGCAAGATTTAATTAGTGATAAAGAAGTATCAATGAAAAAGAATAAAGCAGTAGGACCAGATGAAGTGCCAGTATAGGTATGGAAAATATTAGGCGGTGTTGGCATGAGGTGGTTGAAGGAACTTTTAAATAAAATCTTATTAGAAGGGAAAATACCAAATGAATGGTGGAAATTATAGAGGCATAAAGTTTATGAGTCATAGTATGACACTTTTGGAAAAGGTAATAGATAAGAGAATAAGAAATGAGTCATCGGTATCTTAAAACCAGTTTGGTTTTATGTCTTATAAGTCAACAAAGGAGCCAGTATTTTATGTGAGGCAACTAATAGAAAAGTTTAGGGAAAAGAAAAAAAAGCTGTGTATGGTATTTATAGATTTGGAGAAAGCGTATGACAGAGTACCGATATATATTGTCAANGGAGCCAGTATTTTATGTGAGGCAACTAATAGAAAAGTTTAGGGAAAAGAAAAAAAAGCTGTGTATGGTATTTATAGATTTGAAGAAAGCGTATGACAGAGTACCGATATATATTGTCAATATATATATATATGACATTAAGTGAGGACGTGATTGGAGAGGTGGAGAGTTTTAAGTATTTAGGCTCAGTTGTGCAAACGAGTGGTGGTATTGATGAGGATGTAAGATACTGGATTAAGTGCAGGTGGTTGAAGTGGAGAGAAGCGACTGGCGTCTTATGCGATAAAAGAATTCCAATGAGGCTGAAAGGTATATTCTACAAGACTGTAGTGAGATCAGCTATGATGTATGGTTGTCAGAGTGTTGGGCGGTTGATAAGAAAGTAGAGCAGAGAATGAGTGTAGCAGAGATGAGAATGCTTAGTTGGATGAGTGGAGTGACTAGAGAAGATAAGATAAGAAATGAGCATATAAGAGGGAGTATAGGTGTAGTGCCAATCGTGGATACGATGAAAGAAAATAGACTTAGATGGTCATGTTATGAGTAGAAAAAAAATCGGAAGCCATAAGAACAGTTGTAGAAATTAATGTTGAAGGAAGAAGAGGTAGAGGAAGACCAAAAAAGAGATGGAGGGATGCTATTGAATGTGATTTGCGGACAGCTGATGTGAACGTAGATGATATGGAAGATTTTGTCAAGTGGAAGTTTAGGATAAAGGTGGCCAACCCCAAGTAGTTGGGATTAAGGCGAGGAAGAAGAAGAACTTTGGCGCCTTCTAATTATTCACTAGAGAGAATATTTTGTAAACTCTAATAATGTTATGTGAAATTTTAGGTTTTGTCAGTATATATCCATGATGTTCATTTGAATAAACCTTTTATATTTTTCTTTTTAAAGACCGAATTTCTTTTTAGCTTTAATGTATAACTAAAAAAAATATTGGTTTTACTTAATTATTACTGATAATATTTAATCTCTTAACCACAAAATATTGCTATTATAAAAGTAAAATAAATAAAGATGAAAAAAAATGTTGTTTTAAAGTACATTAAGACACTTTGAACGCAAATAGAAAAAAGTGGTATGTCAATATGGGTTCAAAAAAAGTATATTCCATTATAATGGACATTAGGTAAATATTTCAATAAAACAAAAATTAGTCCAAGCTCTAGGTAATTAATAAGCTCAATAAACTGTATTTAAAATAACAACTTCATTGTGATGGCATGAATCCTTTACCCTGCTATCTCTGTATTAGTTTTTATATAACCTTAAAACTTGTTGCAATCTTTATAAATCGAGCTATAATACTGTATATATATATATATATATACAGGGTGATTGGCTAACTATGTCTCACATAATATGTTTAAAAATACATGTGTTATGAACAAATTTTTTTTTTTAATCATTATGGATGATCTGTTTCACAAGAAAAATTAAATTTCTATCATCATGCTTTACACATAGAACTAGTATCAACTTCAGATTTTTAAATGGCAACCCCATATTATTTTTATATATTTTTGTTAGTCATAAAAAAAATAAATAAATTATTAATTTTAAATAAAATACGCTACTTTAAAATTTACGATATTTGCTGAAAAATTTCAGAAGTTTTTTCAATACTGTTACATTATTATTTTATGTAATGACAAGAGCTACCGGTTTACTTTGTCAACGCACGTAATCAGAATAACCCTTATTGATTTACAACCTAAATAGTTCAAGTCTGTTATAAGTTTTTCTTAATAAACCCTTAACATTAGAGAGCCGTGAAGCACTTAATATTAAATAAAATATATTTTTTTTATTAAACTAAATTTGTAAATATGAATTTGATACAAGTTTTAAACATAAGGAATGGTGGTACAAATTTAAATTTTCTTGTTAAACACCTCATCTTAGATCCATAACAATTAAAAAAAAAAAAAAATTATGTTATAACACTTGTATTTTTTAAGATATTACATGAGACATAGTTAGCCAATCACCTTGTATACATAAAAACAAAACTACAATAATTATTACTATCCCTCTAGATAATATTATTAAATGGATCTTAATACAAATTTATAATATAATATAACAGTAAAAGTATTATTAATTATTTACATACATCTCCTGATCCCATTACTGCAATTGGTGTTTCTCCAGTAACTAAAGCTACTTCATGTTCAATCAAATAAAACATATATTCATCATAAAGTAAACGGATTAGATGAAATGAACCAAAGCTAGCTGCTGAACGTAATGTTAAATCTCGTATGACCATTGAGCTACAAAATAATTATAAATATGAAATTTAAATAATTGTATAATTAAATAAAGAATTACCTGTAAAATGACCATTTTAATAAAAATTGTCTTGCTTCTTTTGTAAAATTAGGTGTACCGCGGTAAGGCTTTAAACAATTATCTACAACACTTTTTAACCAAGTTGCCCATTCTTCTAATGAATTCTGCTGTTGCAATGTATGTTTAAAATCTGCCTCCAATTGTTGAACTAAAGCAGAATCACATTGGCAAACCCATGAAGCCTGTAGTAACAAAATATAATTTATTACTCAATTTTATTTTAATTATTTAATTATTTAGGGATAACACCTATTTTAAGTTATTTTACAATAAAATGAATTTTAGTATAAATATAGAAATAGATACAAAGATTATACCATAGGATGAATAAAAGAAAAATAATAAACATGGAAAATTTTTTCAAAACAAAATTAAGAGAAATCAATATAATATTAATTATATAAAAATTAACAGAGAATATTGAAATTAAGCGCAGTAAAAATTTCATGCATTAATTATTTTTAAATACACTTAAAGAATCATTAAATACATCAAGAATATATGCAGTGTAAGAAGATTGAATATGGTGAAATGATGGAAAGATAGAAATAATGTGTAGAGCTGTATCAAGAGGAAAAAAGTTCTGTCTTTTTAATTATTATTATTGATGCTGTAGCATCAAGATCAAATACTAAATCGAAAAATCTACCAAAACTGTTTTCTCTGTATGTTTCACATAATATTTCCAGTTCATTACTAATATTATTTAGAATAATTTCATTACTATCTGGTATATAAATGACCCAACCACCCAAACACTACTATATAAATGTTAAATGTATATTTCTATTATGGTATCTATTAACAATTTCTAGTTTTATCATAACAAGATTTTGATTAGAAGTATTTATTTTTTAAATGGTATTAAAGATTGAGTTGTGATTAGAATACTTCCATCTGAATAAAATCCGGTTAACTTGGATATCTGTTAGTTTTATGTATATTATAATAGAGACCAGTGTAAATTCAGTGCTTGATATATGTTTGTGCAGTTTCTATTAGTAATACAATATTATTGTATAAAATTATATTAAGTACATAATTGAAATGATAAATTGTTTATTTTTTTTATCAGACCCCTTATGTTATGATAGTAAATAAAAACAGCAGTGACTAAACTAGTAGGGTTTGATAGTTTTATTATTTTTTAACTTTTTTAGGTTCTCCTTGTAAATATTTGATTGTTAGATCAGTTTCATTTATCAGTTCTAAGTTATTATCTTTGTAATTTTGTTAATTCATTATGAAATATATGCCCTTTTTGCCTTTTCTTTGAAAATATTTGTACAACTATCAAAGGAAATGAAAGTTTCAGCCTTATCAAAATCTAATCCTTGATAACAACACAAACAACTATTTGAACCATTAGCCATATTTATAAGAAATTACTAAAATATGATTTAAATCTTACAAAATAATGAATCGTAAAAACTTATAAAGTAGTTAGAAGCGTTAGAAAACTAACTACATATTTAGATTATTGTATAATAAAATAGAAATTTTAAATTAGAAAGATTAAAATGAAAAATTCATATAAGAGCTTGTAAAATATGTTGTCATTACGGTTATCCCTATTTATTTTCATAAATAGTACTTCAGAAGATTATGTATTATTATATTAGACAATAAAATAAAAATTGTAAAAGAAATATAAAATACCATTTAAAGTAATTTAAAACATTTAAAAAAAAATTGTACAACTTTGAATTTAATGTTATAAAATAATAAAGCCTCAACTCAGATTTCTGCTTTTCAAAATTTTAATTCAAATATTAATTATTAAAAATGTATTGTTTGATAAAAAAATATGTGCACATAGTTCAATAATTAATTTCCAAAATCAGATAATAAATAAAAACTTACTTGTTCTTGAACATTACGGAAGTCGACACGATTTAAATCAGTAAGCATTTGATTAATTTGAGTATAATTTTGTAACACAGCTCTAGCAGCCTGAGCAAGATGATTTAAAGAAGTATACCGGCGTAATGTTTGAGCAAAAGCACTAACTGCAGTCACCTGAATAAAAAAAATTTTTATGAAAACAGAATTAAAATATTTATGCATCATATAAACATTTTTACATAATATACTTGACGTTTAATATAAATAATAATCACATATTTATACTAAAATATAGTACAATTAAAAAGGTTTTAGCATAACAATAAGTTTTATCTCTAAAATTTGCCATCTCTTTTTTATAGAAACTTAATAACATCACAAGAGTGGTATTAGTATAGACATATAATATTTAATTACAGCAATTTAAACAAATTTAACTCATTAGTTAAATTTCACATTTATAACTCATCTATGTAATAATTTCTTTTAATACCCATTATACTGTCATTATATTTTTAACTTGATCTGTAATGGATATTCGAGTAGACAAGAACCTTTATATTTATACTTTAATAATATACAGAATAATCTACATTGTTTTGAAAAATGTAATAACTTTAGATCTACTAAATATTTTGCAATACTTTTTTAAAAAATAATTTATGCACTCTTAGACAATGTTAAAATCATATTTTTTATTTTTTCAAAATTAAAAAAAAACCATATTTCTAGAACTTATCTTATATAAATATTTATTGGATTAATAACAATTATAAAATGAGTACATATTGAACTACAAGAATTTTAATACATAGAGTGGGTATACATAAATATATATAAATATATGCCAATACAAGCTATACCCCCACACAATATACCCATTTTATGTATTAAAATGCTTAATGTATTATATATGCTGAGATCTCAGTAAAATACTTAGGTTTAAGTGCTGTCGACCCATTATTTTTTTTAAGGTTATAAAATGACTATTTTGATGCTTTGAAAAAAAATTGTATTATTTTTAGTAATTAAAAACAAATAATGATAAAAATTATTTAAAAAAAAGTAACACAAAATATTTAATAGATTAAAAATTATTAGATTTTTCAAAATATTGCGGACTATCTAATTAATATTAACTAAAATACTAACTTTTATTGAGATCATTTCTTCTGGACACCCTTGCATAGCAGAAGTAAGCCATGACTCTAATCCTTTCGAAAAATTTCTGATAGCTTGAGTTAATGTTCCTATACATACAAAAAAAATTTAATGTAAACATAAATATATGGATAACAGTTATTATAAAATACACTTAAGTATAATAGTAGCCAACCTATAAAATACATTAAATAACATGGTTATTGTCCTAATTGCTATAATTAGTAAATCAATATAGATATTTTGAAGTTGGATACTCAATAGATTACAGGCATACATACCAGGAACTGGTCTAAGAACATCAGGAATTAGAACTTTCACTAAATTTTGATAAAATAGAAAATCAACAGTTTTCACAAATAGTTGTAATGTTTTACATTTTGATAAGGAATACAATTTTTCTTTGGATAAATATTTTTCTTCTTCGCATTCATCATTATTATTATCTTGACTACGCCAAAATTCTCGCCAAAGTGATTCAACAGTACCAAATTCTAAGTTTAATATAGCACCCAAAAAAGCCTAAATAAAATGTTTTTATGTTTTATATGATTAAATATATAAACAAATTTAAGTAAAGTACTTCATAATGTTCTCTATAAAGATTTTTAAATGTATCAACATCTTCAAGAGTACAATTATCATCTAATTGCAGTTCATCCAATATGATATCAGGAAATTCAGGTACAGCATTTGCACCATCGCCTAAATATTCTTGATTTTGAGCTTGTGGCGAAGAAGGTATACTATTTTGTGAATAATTTGTTGAATCTGAGCTATTACCAGCATATTGATTGCAACTACGCTCTTCTGTTTTAATAAATTTAATTTTTTTTGAAGTAGTACTCTGAGTGGTTCTTCCAGATACATTATCATCAGTTGAAAAGTCATTTAATAAAGAACTGGCTTTTATTCTAATTCCATAGTAATGGTATTTAGAATTCCCTCTGAAAAATGTATTAAATGATTTTATACAATAAATGTTAACATAAATATATTCAATTTTTAATTATACCTAGTTCCTAAACGTCTGGTACGTAAACCCATAAAAACAGAACGTATAAGTTTACCAAAAGAAGCTGCATTTACAGGATCAATTTTTGTTTCTGAACAATGTGTTAAATAATGATTATATAATGTTGAACGAGGTAATGAGACTCCTTCAGCCATTTCATAATTTTCCATTAACCAATTAACCTATGATAGTACAATCATTAACAAGCCGAAACAAAAATTTTATTTTATTTAAAATTTTCTTACAGTTGCAGGAGATATTCTGTTAGCGTGCATAAGACCACTACTTTGCATCCCTCCATCAGACTCGACACCATTTATTTGATCTAAATTAGCACTTGTTGGGTTAGAATCGGTGGTATTAACCGTAAGATAAGAAACATCCTATAATGTTTTTAATATTAATATATATTAATATTAATAATTTCAATAAATATATACATAAAAAAAAATATTGATGAAAAATGGGAAATTAATTCAGGTGCATGCAGACATTTGAAATTGGAAAATTAAAGCAGAAAGAAGGGCGAAGCTGATTTTTAGTTTAACAATGTACCGAGGATATAGCTGAATTTGGACTATCTCTTTGAGCTGTAGTGATAATTGTATGATCATTGTCTACATTTTGTTGTATTATATAAGTTCCATTTCCAATTATTTGTGCTTGACATGTAGGCTGTCCTAACGTGTTTGTAACCTATAATTTTCATTTTTGCATGAAGCACAACAATAAATATAAGACAAACCAAAAGATCCAGAAGGAAATTATACAGTATTTGAAGTATAAGACACCATTAAAAAAGCACCAAAGTAATGAATAATCATATAAATTATTAATTGGACATTTTACCTGAGAATATGAATTTGTACTTGGGGTATAATAATGAGTTTGACCTGTTTGGTACATGGTTCCACTTTCTCCTACAGTATAAACTGGATAAGCCCTGAAAATAAAAATATCAATATTTAATAGTTAAAAATTCTATAAATAAGTTTTATTATTAAATTTATTGTCTTTTAATAATAAATTAGAATCAAATTTTAGAAGTAAAAATTCAAGTAAACTGATTAATAGGTACTTAACTCTTTATAACTTATTTTTTTAAAACAATATATGCCTACATAGATCAGACTTTGATATGTAGGTAGTGGTGTTCACTTCTGTACCTCAGGCTATGTGAGGTTTTTTGGTCTCTACCATGCATTACTTTTAAGAGAGGATGTTAAATATAAACAAAAATCAAATTCAAGAGGTAATTAGGAAAAAATAATGATTTTGTTATATTTTTTTAAATCATGATTAACCCTTTTAAAATAATTTGTAACTATCTCAAAAAATTTTAATTAAAAACAATAATAATCTAAAAGCCATAATTATAAATTAATTTAAAACTCGTATTCTCTGATTTTTCCATTTTTTTTTTTTTTTTTATATCTTGCTTAAAGAGTGTACGCATACTTATTTGTGGTAGGTGTGTGATTTCATCAACCCCCCAATAATCTTATTTCCATTTGCATAGACACAGCTAGAGGGGTTAAAGGAATAGTTTCCTAAAAATGAACTCGGATAATAATCTATATATAATAGATTTAATTTATTTTTAAAAACTATAAAATTTCCTAACATTTCTATGATTATCGTGATCATTTTAAAGTCCCAAAAGTTAAAATTTTAAATTCATGTTTTTTAGATTTTTCAAATTTATATAAACCATTAATAGATTTAAAATTGATGCATTAACATTAAAACTCTTGTAACTTGCATTAAATAGTAAAAGATTAACACCATTTAAAGAAACACTGTTTCTTTAGTTTGTGAAATGAAGGATTTGGTATAATAAAGGGGTACCTATCAAAAGGTAGCTCTATGTTTGGAGCATTTTAAGTTATATTTTGTAAAAAAGGTTATATTTATATTAATACAAAAAAATTTAAAAATTTATTCTCAGATATAATTTGAACCACTTAATTGAAAAAAGACACAAGTCAAAACAATTTTAAAAATAAGTCATTATGTAGTGAAAAAAAATTCTTTATTCTTCTCTTTCTTAGTCATTTTATTTTAAAAACAATACTATCAATTGATATTTAAATTAATTTTTTACTTAAAAAAAAAATTATATTGATGGACTTTAGTTTCTCAAATAAAGGGTTTATTTGCAGTGTTCCTTAAATTTACAATTAGGTAATCAATTCATTTTTAAAGAAAACATTTAAATAATTAAAACAAAATAAAAAACTGAAATAATTAATTCATACATTTGGCCATTGGTGAATATTGCTTGATCACCTGCTGTTCCTTCTACATACTGAACATATGTAGAATGACTAACATCCTCAGAACCCACTGTTTCAGTTTCAGGAACTGAAAAAAAAAAGATTATTTATAAGAACACCACACATTTTATTATAGTGACTTAATTGAAAAAATATATAGCTTATTCGTCAAGATTTTTTTATGAACTACTTTAAAAATTATTAATTTTATGTTTTATATCTACTAAATATAAATATAATCTAGCTTGAAATGCTATACCAAACCAATTATTTTTTTTAAAATATTAAATTCATAAAATAATATTTTATAGGATTGTAACTCTTACCTAATGTTGGTACTGGTGTCAAAGAAGCATAAGATCTTCCTTGTGATCCTTCTTAATTGTTAGCGTGCAAGTTTATTATTTATAAGTATAAATATACTTCTTTATAAGAAGCAACTTATAAAAAATATTAAACATACAAGTGTTAAAGGCACTTTAATATTTTTTAAGTGAAACAAATAAGGCCATATAATCAAAATGTTAGACTAAGTGTTTTCTTATTCAATTATATATATTTAAAGTTGCATAAAATTGCTTNAGACTAAGTGTTTTCTTATTCAATTATATATATTTAAAGTTGCATAAAATTGCTTAAAGATCTCATCATATTAATACATTTTTATTTAAGTTCATATTATTATAAATTAAATTTCTCATACCACTGCAATGAGAAATTACTTAAAGTGCATTTAACTTATTTAAATGCTTCATTCACTCTTAAATGAATTATACATTTATTTATTAATTTAAAAATAATTTATCAATAGATATCAATAAATGTTATCATATTAAATTCAAATATAAATAAATCAAATTAATGGGCTACTTGTAAAACAGTTAATAAAAAAAAAACATACTTCATCATTAAAAGACAAATAATTTAACATTTTACCTGAAGCTGCAACTATATAATGTCCATTATCAACAGTAACTGTAGGATTTCGATCTTTGTGTTCTAAATGGTGTTCTTCATCATCTAAAGACTTATCAGATCCATCATCATGTACTGGGCTACCACACAACATTGTTGTATCCAACTGTCTATTATTAGTAACATTCTTTAAAAAAAAAAGATATTTCCTTAGTAATTATAAAACTAAAGATTAAAAATAATTGAAATACTTGTTCAATTGAAGCTCGAACTACAGAAGCTTGTTGTACAGGTTGTACAACAAGTGTTTGGCCAACCCCACCAGCAGTTACCACTGTGATAGTGCTGATTTGAGAGCCTGGGCCAGCTGACCCATCTATTTTGATTCCACTCCTAACAGAAGTCGCCATAGATAATTATCTATATTAAAATTAATTAATATATTAGTTAATTATTTTATCATTTACTATTTTGAACATTTAAATTTAACATTTAAGTTCATTTTTTACCGATTAATAAATTATTGGCTCATATATCATATCAAATTATAAATTGTTCAAAAGAGTAACTTTATGCGATATTCTGAAATGGCTCTTTACTATTCAAGATAAGTAAAATACATAAATATATCACGTAATAATAACTTAAAATTATTAACTAGAAGATAATCTACTTTAAAAATAAAAATAATTGATTTTTATTTCAAGATTTACTTTATTTTTATAATTTTTACTTATAATATTATAAATAAATAATAATAAATTACACTATTGCATTAAAAGTAAAAAAAAGAATTATGTATATTATTAATTAGTAGGGAAAAAAATTAATTAATTTTTTTAAACATGAAATAGTCATCTTAAATTTTTATTTTTTGGTATATATTTTAAAATATATTATATAAACTAATAATTATATAAATTACATTTAAAAATAAAAATTATAATTTTTTACAGGAGCTATAAATTAATAATTTTATATTTACAATAGCTTTGAGATAAAAAAAAAAATTAATTTGATATAAGTACATGAAACGTAATTAGAAAAAGAAAATTTGAAATGTTTTAATAAGTTAAATGACAAATATTAATGATTTATAAGTTATGTAACATAAAATTGAATATGAAACATAATATCAAATTATTATTATAGTAAACACTAATATTACACAATATATAATAAACATTTTTTCTCATCACCTAAAATTACATATTTGTTATTATATGACCACGATATATTAGTAGCCAACATTCTATTTCCACTTGTAAAGTTTGGTAATTTTTTTAATATTGGACAATTTTGGTCAGTCCATAAAAATATTGATTGTGTTCCAAAAACTGCACATAGTTTAATTTCTGAATGTGACCAAGAAACTTGCTTAACGTTTGATGAAAATTCCACAATACATATTAACTTTGTTTTTTTCCATATATGCAAACATAAGTCATCCCCAAGTGTACATAAATATTTACCACAAAAACTCCATCTAATTAATGAAATGTTAGTCAAATTTTCTTTTGGATATATGTACATTGAGTTTATTTTAATCAAATCTCCACTATACTCTTTGTAATAATCAAAATTGTATTCACGATTTATACAATGATGTAATTTAAACGTAACATTGAAATCATTAGTGCTATCTAAAACAATAATAGTACCTTCGGAACATCCAAGTGCTAAAAATTTATCATTTGGTGCCCAGCACACAGTGATTAAAGATGTAAATTGATATTTACCAATTATGTCACCAGTTAAAAAACAGATGATTGCTAAATTTTTATTGTTAAAAATACATAAGTAATTTTCCTTAGGGGATTTATATATTCCATTACAATGTCCAATAAAATCTTGAAGATATAAAATTCTTTTTATTTTTTTTAAATTCAACATCAATAATTTTTCAAAGCCATTAATTTTGGTAATTACAAACATAGTTTTACCACTACTGTTAAAAGCTATGCAAGGTTGAATGGGTTTAGGTACTTCAATATAAAAAACACTACAATCCCTTAAATTTAAAACTGCTAATGCCATGAAATACTCCAATGTTATTAAAATTTTGTCTGATCCGATCCAATTAGAATCAATGAATTTAAAAAAACCACATCTTATTTTATGTGTCCACATTTTGGAATGCAAATCATAGATTTGTAACGAGTTATTTTTTAACTGAGAACACAATAAACGATTGCATTCACAATTCCACTGAAGACCATCAATAATGTATGAAGCTTTTGTAGTGATGCAAGGATTAACAAAAGGACTCTTTATGATAAGCAGATTATAACCAAGGGCAGCAGCTAAATATTGACCATTAGATGAAAATACACAAAAATCATAATCTAATATATTCATTATTAAAAAAAAAAACACTTACTAAATTTTGGAAGGATAAAACTTGAAAATTTACTAATATTTCATAGTCATTGACTAGTGATGGTCAACTAAATACGCGCATATAAATGCATAAGATCATAAAAACAGATTAGGTACACACGATATTTTTTATTCGTTTGCGAATCAACCGAAAATTATCTTAGTCTCTTAATCTACTTTAGAGATATTATTGTTATGTTTTGATGTACCTGAATTGTTGACGTAAAAAGGCGTTCATGGTGACTATGGCTACGGCTTCTCTTTCGTTGCTAGGAGCAGTGATAGTCACAACAAACACGCAACAATAAACGATCAATAATAAGATTATGAAAAAGGGCGTCTGTTTAGATGACTGCTGCAGATCAGGTCATATGAAAACAATTATTAATATAGCTGCAGTGAAATTATACAATAATCACTATGATTAAGGATTTAAAATAAATGCATAAAAAAATTAACTATAAATCATAGGAAAATAAGATCGCGTTAAGAGAGCAGTCGGCGAAATAAAAGTTAGATTTTCTCTATGACCGAGTGAAAATTTAATTTGGTAACTTCACACGGAAAATATACCAAAGACGTTAAAAATATTACTGCACGTATTTAAAAATCTTGGCGCCATCAAGTTCGCACACAACGACTACCTCACCGATAGTTATAAGGATTTGGTTAATATTGGGCCAATAAATATTATAAAAATAATAGAATTAAAACTTTTATTTTAATGTAATAAAATAATCAAAAAAAAAATGAATACTTTACATAGTTGTACTTTGCAAAGTTATTAGAGTATTATATACATATGTATTCTATAATAACTCGATAAGAGTCGATATATATTAATGATTAATAGAAATAATGGAATAAGTAAAATTTTCATTTTTACAGGAACTGAAAAAATCATTCTTTGTAATATATCGATTTGGTACTTAATAACACCGTCCATGAATCAACTGGGTTCAAATCGTTGAACTTATTAAACAATCAAGAAGAGAAACCTCTTGTTACCAGTGATGTGGGTTTATTCTGTGGCGTTTACTCTTGAGGCGTTGTAAACGCCTCAAGAGCGAAAAATTATCATAGCTCGCGAAGTTTAATGAAGAAAAGTTGAACAGCGTAAATGTCATATACATATGTACCTCTCCTTGTATTTTTCTAGTATTTTCATCCATCACAATAGAAAATAAGTAGCGTAGATGATGGGGAGATCGTGACAAGTGGAAGTTTAGGAAAGGGTGGCCGACTCCAAATAGTTGGAATTAAGGCGAGGAAAAAGAAGAAGACTATAGAAAATAAGTAAGGACTAAAAGCAGAACCTTGCTGCATTCCTTCTTATACCCTAAAATCTTCTGTTACTCCACCCACACTTTTAACCCTGGTACAAGTGCCATCGTACATATCCTCTATTATATTAATATATCTTTTTGGGATTCCTTTTCTTATTAATGCCCACTTTAAAATTTCTCTCGGTACCCTATCATACGCTTTTTCCAAATCTATAAATACTATACACAGCTTTTTCTTGTTTTCCCTATACTTTTCAGTTAGTTGTCTCACATAAAATTATGGCTCAATCGTTGACTTTCTTGGCAAAAACCAAACTGATTCTTTAAAATTATTATAATATATCTTATGAATTATAGATAATCAATTAATCCGTGATATCGAAAAATATTGATGTTGATATCATGATAAAATGCTTAATATTATTGGATAGAGTTCACCATAGCCACGCAATAACACAGGCTATATGAAAAATAGCCTGTTGTACTAATTGTACTATTTTTAGCTTTTTTATAATATCGAAACATGTAAATATCAGTTCGTGATAATCCTCATGATCAAAAATTTACACTTAAAAAATTTGTTTATTTGTTACTAATTATTTTTGTTGATATTATTAAACAACACACTGGGTACAGTAATATTATTTTAGTGCATTTAAGATAACAGTTTAAAATATATTTTCACTTATGTTAGTATAGTACAAGGTTACATTCCTTTCTCGGTTATGTCATTTAATTTAATACAGCTTTTTGTATAAATGTTTAAGATTTAATCATTTTCCGTCTATCGAGTTAAACGATTCGTTTATATTGATGATATATATGATATTTTATATTATATACTATTATATTTGTTGGATACACATCGGTCGAATGTGATATCGAGAATTTGTGTTGTGATTATTTAAGCTATCGTTGTGCTACATTGAGTTGTTATTGTTCTTCTCTCTATGTCTGCATTATCGCCGCCATCTTAGCGTATTTCAAGCTATAAGCTCTATGTCGCTTGTGAGCCAGTATTTTTGTATTCTTTTAGTTGTAAAAGTAAAATATCAGCTTTACGATTGTTGCACTCTTGTGTGCTCAGTATATCGCCGTTGGGTCCATATATTTTTTGAGATACATCACAATACCGTTCACAACATATTGTACACGTTGGTCAGCTATTTACATTTGATTTCAATTAATCCTTTCAATATAATGCTTGTTCATCTTCTTTTTAAGACTTACTCACATTTGTAATTTATTATTTGTTTATATCAGCGCCATTGTAGTATTAGTATTAAGTGTTCCCCTATCCACATTGGTATAAATACGATTTTATAATTCATGTATAATACATTTAATTGTTATATGTTTTGAAAATTTATTCTACATTCATTCATACAGTCCACTCACGTTATTTCTTTTTCTAGACATAGCCTGACTTAAGACAAAATAAAATAACGAACCCGCGTGAGTACCACCGGGCGCTGCGTTCATTCAATATTACAAGTGCATAAAAAGTGATCATAAAAGGGTGCTAATGAGCGATGATGATGTGAAAAAAAGGGGAAAAGAGTATTTTGAAAAATTACTAAATAAGGAGTATCTGAGAAATACATTAGAAGATATCTCATGAAACAAGGGACTGGTAGATTTAATTAGCAAAAAAGAGATATGAGAAGCTGTGGCATCAATGAAAAATAATAAAGCAATAGGATCAGATGAAGTGCCAGTAGAAGAACGGAAAATATTATGTGGTGTTGGCATATGGTGGTTGAAGGATCTTAGGATCTAAAGGAGACATACAGGATTGTGGAAGTTATAGTGGCATAAAGCTTATGAGACAAAGTATGGAGATTTGGGAAAAGATAAGAAAATAAGAAATGAGACATTGGTATCTAAAAGTCAGTTTGGATTTATGCCTGGTAAGTCAACAATGAAGTCATTATTTTATGTAAAACAATTAATGTGTCCCCCCCCCCAAAGGCAAGGAATAACTATGACTCTTTTAAGGTAGCAGAGAAGAGAATGCCTAGATAGATAAGTGGAGTGACTAGAGAAAATAGGATAAGGAACGAACATATAAGAGGGAGTATAAGTGTAGCGTCAATCATGGATAAGATGAGAGAAAATAGACATAGATGGTTTGGTCATGTTATGAGGAGAGAAGAATCGGAAGCTGTAAGAACAGTTATAAAAATGAATGTTGAAGGAAAAAAAGGTAAAGGAAGACTAAAAAAGAGATGAAGGGTCCAAGTAGTTGGGATAAATCCGAAGAAGAAGAAGATATACTATTACATTACGAATAATTTCTAAATCTTTTTTAGTTATACAACCTAACCTATTCAAATAATTTTATTAATTAAAAATATCCGCTGTCTTTTTCTTATTACTGTTTTAATTGTAATAATTATTTCATTTTTAATAATATAACAAATTAAAACTCAATTTAATTTAGTTTTATCTATCATTAGCATTAGTGTGATAAAAGTTATTAATTATATTATTGAACAACAAAATAAATAAGATTCTATATGTTATCTATTTTGGGAATGAACAATATTTTGTTTGATATATTTACAAAACTTTGAACCTAACCTTATCTGAACTGATATAAAAAAAGTCAGTTTCTTTTACAATTAAAATAAAGATGTTACGCTCAAGCATGTATGTATAGATTATAATTAATAAATACTTATCTACATCTTCAAAATTGTAAAAATTACTTAATAATAATTATATTTGTTGATTTGTAGATAATAATTTTCAAGCAATATTTATTTACATATATAATAAAGATTATAGTATTGTGATAATATTTCACATAATTTATTATGGTAAGTTATGTGAGTCTAGATAATATTATGTAAGTCTTACAAATATAGGTTAGGTTTATTTATCTTTCTTAAATATTATTTTACTTTAAATTAAGATCAAATACCATGTATTTTTTTTTAATCTATACTGTTATCTAAAGTGTAGTTGTGTTCTATTTTATTTTACTTACCAATAGAATAATATTACAAGTGGAACTGTCTAAAGATATTTTTTTTATTTAGTGAATACATTTCTTTTAACTACTAACTTGTTGTTTGATAAATATTTATGTATAGCTCTTTTTTTAGAATAAACAAGAAGCAAAAAGAATTAAAATGTCTTCCTTCAGTGATAATAGCGAACATGAAGCTGTCTCTAATTTTAGGGAATATCTTCGTATACCATCAGTTCATCCAGACGTTGATTACAGTATTTTAATTTTTTTTTTCATAATGATGGTTGTGTATTTAATTAGATTACATTATTGTTGTATTATTGTTGTAATAAGGCAAGTGTGTAGAATTTATATTGAGACAAGCTCAAAGTCTTGGTTTACCTTCCAACATCTTCTATGTGGCACCAGGAAAACCAATTGTAATAATTACTTGGACTGGACAAAATCCAGAACTCCCATCAATTCTTCTTAACTCTCACATGGATGTAGTTCCAGTTTATCCAGTTAGTAATAAATTTTTTAAAAAATAATAGTGGTTGCTAAGAAAATATAAAATTTTACCATTGATATTTTTGTAAAATTTATTTATTTTGTGATTATTTGTAAAATATGTGGTATTTCACCATATTCTGACATCTTTTATAATTCTTGATCTAGCGATTATTTTGTATTCTTTATTTTAAAAATAATTTTTACAGTTTTGGTTTATGTTAAAAGCGTAGCTTTTATTATTTATATTTAATAATAAAAATTGATTTATATATATTTTTTAAATTTCAAAATAGCCATTTTCTTACAAAAAAATTTTGATGGCTCAATTACAGTTTTAGAATATATACTTGAGTTATAAAAATTTTAATACATAAAATTGGTATGTAGTGCAGATGAATTTCATATATACTACCAAGGGTTGTACTTACCTATGTTACATAATCAATGTATTAAAATGCTTGTAATTTAATAAGTTATTAACATCAACATTACTGGTAAGAAAAGTGCTAAAACATGGCTATTATAAAAAAAATTATTTAAAAAAATAATTAATACAAAATATTTGCTGAATTAAAAGTTATTAAAGATATCAGAACATGGTGGGACACCTGTGTGTTTTATTTGTTTATATGTAATGTCCTTTAAAAGCTTTTGCATAGAGTGTACAAGAAAATATATATACCTAAGTATAATGAAATCAAACCCAATATCTATGTACTGAGGCATGATGCATTATTAAATGAATTAGGCATGTCACTTATAATTACTACATGACCATTTAAAAACATCCTTCAATTGAATGACACCTTTTATTTAACTTAATATTTGTATTTCTGATGCAAAACTGAAAAATAATTAATCTTACAAAGATTTTTCTAAAGCTCCTCTTGTAAAAACTGTTTTTGTAAGTTCAATATCCTCACTTATTTATGTATCAAATTGAATTTTGCTTAAAAATGTGAAATAGATTATTAAAAATTATTTTTTTTAAACTTATCTCATCTTATGATACTTAATTTTAATAACATACATAGTTCACAAAAAGTCAATAATTTAGCAACCTTACTCAAGAAAAGATATTTATATATGAATCATAAAATTTTTATTTATTTTTGTATAAAACTTTTTAAGTAGGGTAAAAAGTTAATTATACTTCAAAATTTTATTCAGATTGCATTAATAAAAATTAATAAATCTAAAAAATGTAACATCTTTATTTTTTGTTATCTATTGGTATTATCAATAACATAACATTACAATATAATTATTTGTTATACCTTTTCAGGAAAAATGGACTTATAAGCCTTTTTCAGCTCATAAAGATGAAAGTGGGAATATTTTTGCAAGAGGAGCTCAAGATATGAAATGTGTGGGAATACAATACATAGAAACAATTAGGAAATATTTAAAAGAAAAATTAGCCTTTGATAGGACTATTCATATATCATTTGTTCCAGGTTCGTTTTTGATTTTTAACAAATTGTTTTATTTTAAATTTGTTTTAACCTGTATGTGGTATGGTAAAAAAAAAGTCAATTTTAATCACCTGTATCGATCGGAGACATAATATTTTTACTTCTAAAACCAAAGTACTGTATTAATACAACCTTAATAAGAAAGTGAAAACTACAACCGTGGTCTTATCATTATTATTTGTTAACCAATAACTATGAGATTGCATTGTACCCCTTACAAAAGATTAATGAGATTTTAAAATATATAATTTTTTGCCAATATTATTTTAGATGAAGAAATTGGTGGAGTTCTAGGTATGGGGACATTTGTAAAATCTCCAGAATTTTCAGCTTTAAATGTTGGATTTGCATTAGATGAAGGACTTGCAAGTCCAGATAATAGTTTTTCATTGTATTATGGGGAACGGACTCTTTGGCGTAAGTTACATGTATAAATAAAATTTAAAAAAAACATCTAAAATTTATAAATCTTAAAATAAATAATGTAGATCTTAAAATAAAATGTACGGGGTCTCCTGGACATGGATCTTTACTTCATGAAAATACAGCAGGTGAAAAGCTACATTTTATAATCAATAAATTTATGAATTGGAGAGATATTGAAAAGTTAAGATTAAAAAATAGTGATCTTGGAATTGGTGATGTAACATCTATAAATCTAACTATGCTAGAAGGAGGTTGTCAAGTAAATGTTGTGCCACCCGAACTTTGTGTATATTTTGATGTACGACTAGCTATTGAAGTTAATAGTGCTAAAATGGAAAACACAATTAACCAATGGTGTAATGAAGCTGGTGATGGTGTGACCCTAGAGTTTATAGAATGTAAAGGTACACAAGTTCAACCTACCAAGTTAAATGAAGAAAATCCTTATTGGATTGCATTTAAAAAACAATGTGATACAATGTAAGTTAAAGAACTTGAATTTAATTATATATTATGATTTTAATTTAAAATTGAAACAAGATTAACTATTTTTCATACTTTTTTAGGAATTTGACTCTTAGAACTTGTATATTTCCTGGAGCAACTGATAGTAGATACATTAGAGAGGTATGAATTGGGTCATATTATATTTAACAATTCCCAACTTAATTCTTAAATTTGTTTTACATTTTTATTTTTAGATTGGTATTCCAGCATTAGGATTTTCACCAATAAATAATACTCCAATTCTTCTTCATGATAATGATGAATTTTTAAATGAAAACATATTTCTTAGAGGAATTGAGATTTATTATAATATAATTAAAAGTCTTGCTTCAGTTTGAAGTTTTATTATAGATAAATAATGATATTTTTTGTTTTATTCTATTTTACTGTTTTAAATTTACATTTATAAAATATTAGTGATTTAAATAAAAATTATTTTATGTCATCACTTAAAAATGTTGTATCTATATATATTTTTAAATAATAAAAAAACAATGAAATATTGTTGTATTAATTATAACCTGTTTTTAATACATCTTTTTAGTCAATAGTGAACAAAATATTTATTATTATCCATGGAGACAATACTTTTTATTATTTGCATTAACAAATTGGATAATTTAATCAGTTATTAGAGATATCATAAAACACGTTTTATTATTTTTATGTAAAATTAATTAAAATCCTAAGGTTGCAAAAAACCTAACCCCTCCAACTATGGATATACCATAGTTGAGACAAAGCAAGATGATATCTAATAGTGATTAACACCACTATCATAATAAAACATTTTTTAACAGATTAATTTTTAACTACATAATTAAAAACTAAAAGCATAAAAAAAACTTTGTTTAAACATCAACAATTAAAAAATATTGTTTATTAGTATATTATTGTTTTTTAAACTTAAACACTACATTGATCTAAAGAAATAGCACAAAAATTTAAAGACCCAAGGTCAAATGTCTTGTTGTTTACAAATGAAATGTGCCATACACTAGTTGAATTATTTTTGTACAAGTTTTACAAATAATTTCTTAAAAAAATAAGAATTTTTACCTAAAGTTTAGTTGTTTTTTTAGTTCATTACTTAAAAATGTATAAGTCTTATTTTATATTATTTGCTTAGATTTATAAACAATTTTGTATGAAATAGTATTCTCTTTCTTATAATGGTGAAAAAAAATAGTGATATGTTGTTTCTTAAATTACTGCTTTAATTGTTGCCATAAAAACTAAGTAATTAAATTTTATTTTTATATAATAAACATTTATAGTGACAAAAATATATATAATGTAATTAAAGTATTATTTTAATATAAGTTACACTAATTCACCTAAAAACAGTAATAATTATAATCCATTGTTTATAAGTTCAATTATGTATTATAAAAAGACTGTAGGAAATAAAAAAGGTAATAAAATACAACCATCCAGTATAGTCAAATAAGGTTTCAACAAATCAACTACCATCCAAATAAATATTCTAATGTTTTTGTGACTATACCATTTGACGTTGTGGCAGTAGGTTCATTCTAATGGACAAAATATAAATTACAAATATATCCATAAAAAACTTTATAAATTTTGGTGGTTACTACAGTGAATTTGCAATCATTTTTCAGTATAGTCATTTAAAGTATTTTAATCACATAAAGACTAATACATAAAGTTTATCTTTAAACTAATGATAAAGGAAATTTGATTGCTATATTATGTTAAAATTACCAAAATTTTTAATTTAAAAACCTATCATAATTAAAAATATAACTAAAGCACTATATTAATACACAACAACCAATTCTTTGACCAAAAACTAAATCTTAGGAAATTCTCAAAATTGGTAATGCAAAAATTAAAATAAATATCTAACATTAAATTAATAATAAACAATATATTTTTTCTTTTATTTTTGCTCCAAGAGTATTATTCAGGTCAAAAATTTGGTGATCGCATAAATTTTGGGGATGCATGCACCACTTTAAAGAACCTCATAAATACTCTTCAACAAACTTTCAAATATATACAGATGGACTTACATCATTTCGTTGAACAGGAATAGGCTTAGCAACCATAGGTCTCAATTTACTTCTTTTAACTATTGAATCGTTAGGGGAAGATAATTGTTGTCCAATAATTGGTGAACGAATTGCTTTAGAGAGGGCTGAACTATGATTATCGGAATGAGAATTTAAGATAGCACACTCATTTAAAATTGTCTATAAAAAACAATGTAGTTAATAAATTATAAAAAGGTTTATAATATACTGTTTTTTAAATACTTTATCATTGCATTGTATAACTCCAATCATAGCACCGTTATTAGTTATATGCCCATTAAATAAGAGAGCACGGTGATAATCTGTAGGATCACTAAAACATATATGAGCCCAATTTGGTCCTGTTTCTCTGACATCACAACATGAAGACATATGAGTAAATTTTGACAATATTTCATCTTTATTAGCTAATGAGAAACCAAACACAGTTATCCAATTTAAAGGAGGCTTTTTTGATAATAACAAGTTCTTGCGTTCAGAATAAAATTCTTTATTTTCTTTATTAGTACACCTGTTAAAATACATTGATTGAGTAATTATCAACATCATAGTATACTATTTTAAGAATTAAAATTTTTTCCCAAGAATGACAAAAAACTATAATATATTATCATAATTTGTATTCATAGGACTTAAACCATAAATAAGTATACATAATATACAATAATGTGTCCTCAAATAATTATGCTAAGCAACTAGTTTCTGTTAAAATTACAATGACTTACTGCTCTTCTTTGTAGTCGGACGCATTAAGCATATCAAATAAATCTATTGTAGGCGCTTTTGATGGTTCTTCATTAACTCTATTTAAAATTGGTGTTGAAGATCTAAACAGAAGAATAAAAATAAACTGGGACTATTCATAGTATATGATTATTTCTTACGGTTTGTCGCTTAATTCATGATGAAAATTTCTCATAAGCAATGTTGAATGGGCATCAGCATGGCTACGACTAGAACGCATTGGAGACATTGTATTTAATGATACATTATTTACTGGTGTTTGAGCTCGTTCGCCCATTAAAAAACCTGGGAGATAAGTTGGTTTTTGAGGACTATCATGAGATGGAGACCCTAATGCCATTGGCTCCATTAGTATAAATTTAAGTACTAAAATTAATTCAAGATAATTGGAAATTGAAAAAAAATTATTAATGGAACTACAAGAATAAACTTATAAAATATCCACTCGACTAAACTTAATAAAATATTGAAAATTTTAACTATACAATTTAATTATGACAAGTTCAAACAATAAATTGTATAATAAATTATCAACCATAAGTTGTGGATTAACTAAATTTCCCAAATTACCGTTGGTCAGTTCATTGCTACTAAAATGATAAAGATCGTTAAATAAATAACCGCAAAAACTATCTATTAACGTTAACAATCAGAGGTTTGCAATGATAAGACATGGAAACTGTTAAATTTTATTATACAGCTATACCAACTTTCTAATATAAATCATAGTTGCTTACTTAACTAAAGTCCTTGATAAAAAAGTAATAATCCTTTTACCATAAATAGTAAACTGCTGTCGTGTTCTCGTGATTATGTTAAAACTAAGAGGTGGCTACTGGACAGCGCTCATGTTCATTTAATCAGTTCGGAATTACAATTCTCGTTTCCATAGTATTTGAGATGCCAGCCTGCTTATAGCTAAATAATAATTTAAATTTAGTGCGTGGGAGTTCAAGCAATTTGTTACGCCTACAAATGTAAGTAGCATTACCAGACCAGCCATATGGTCTTCCGGTTGGTTTAAAATACTTTATAATTTTTTTAGGTCATCATCTGTCAGTTTTAAAAAATAGTACAAATGCCTGGGTAAGTCATCTAGTTACCCCAATATGACTTGAATTGATTGAAAATTTAAGTACAATTTCAGTGTAACTATGTCATTCAGCAATATGTCATGTTCCCGATGTGGAGATGGTTTTGATCCACATGACAAGATAGTTAATTCACAAGGCGAATTGTGGCATCCTCAATGTTTTGTGTATGTAATTAAGCTATTTTTCTTTTATGAAAATAATAAATTTATAATATTTTAGTTGTTCTCAATGTTTTCGACCATTTCCCGATGGTTTATTTTATGAATTTGAAGGTCGTAAATACTGTGAACATGATTTCCAAGTGTTATTCGCCCCTTGTTGTGGTAAATGTGGTGAATTTGTTATTGGACGAGTTATCAAAGCAATGTCAGCTGCTTGGCATCCAGCCTGTTTTTGTTGTGCTGTTTGTCACAAGCAGTTAGCTGATCGAGGATTTGTTCGTAATCGTAACCGTGCATTATGTCATGAATGTAATGCTGCAGATAAAGCTGTTTTATCAGGCAAACATGTATGCTTCAAGTGCCAGTATGTCAATTTTCTTTAATTATTTTTGGTTCCTATTCATTTTACATTAAAATTTTAGTGGAATAATTGATGAAAAACCATTAAGATTTAGAGGTGAAGTCTATCATGGTTACCATTTTAACTGTATGTCTTGTGGAGTGGAATTAAATTCTGATGCTCGAGAATTAAAACATAGATCAGGGTATACTGCCAATGAGATGGTAAAGAACTATTATTATAATAAGAAAAATTGGTACCAAATAGTCCTTTTGGACCATTAAAGTGATTCTCAGTTTCTCTTAAAATTATAAGTTTTTTGAAAATTATTTTTTGGTTTGTGTTAGTTACATATTTATTTCTATTTATCTGCTTTTATAAAATAATTCCTAGGTCACATCCCTTATATCCTATAGGGGTATCAACTTTATATTTTTAAACAGCAACATACATATTAAACTAGCTTATAAAATAGAAAATATAAGTTAAAATAGAAAAATATTAGTTATAAGTGATAAATATAGCAGCAACTACTTCTTACCTCCAGTCATTATTTTAAATTGTTAATAAATTTTGAAATATTGATCCAAAAGTTGATATCAATCAATTTTCTTAATTATATGATAATTTACTATTTTTTAAGCTAGTTTAATATGTATGTTAATATAATCACCTTGTATATTTACTTGAATCAATTATTAAAACATGATAGAGAGTAAAATTAGATCCAGCTTAACTTTAAATAAATCTGAATAATTAGATCTCTACTACCTTTTGGTAGAACAAAATATTTTCAGTCCTGCCAAACCCCTAGTGTGATTTCATAGAAGCCTAGCCTGGTCAATAAAAAATTATATACAATGTATTAATTATGTACAATTAATTTTTTTGTTTTTAAAAATGTTTGTTTGAATTGTGACTTCTTATAAGTATTTGTCCAAATATTCTAAGATTTTGTTACATTAACATAAGTGAATGTTTCCTCTATTTTATTTATTGTTAACTACATCATTCCTTTAGGTTGATACCCAATATGTTGAATTTACTATTAAATAACAAATTATTCAAAGAAAAAACAGCTTAAAATATGTATCCTCTAAGCATAAATATTCCTAATTTAATATGTATTAAACAAAATAATCAAGGCTAAAAATGTATTAAAGAAAATTTTGGTTAGTAACATGCATAAGTAATTCAAATTTATGGGAATGTATTTATTTACTCATTTTACTGTGGATCTGAAAGGGTTCTTTGTATAAATTTACAATTTTTATAAACCAATGGCTTAACATTTTTACTAATTGATAGAGTTCATTATCAAATTAAAATACAATACCGCTAACAATATGGTATGATGTTTATATATGTATTTAAAAATATAGAATGAATTGTATTGTCTGCGATGTCATGATAAAATGGGTGTACCAATATGTGGAGCTTGTCGGCGACCAATTGAAGAAAGAGTGGTAACTGCATTAGGAAAACATTGGCATGTAGAACATTTTGTATGTGCCAAGTGTGAAAAACCATTTTTAGGTCATCGACACTATGAGCGTAAAGGTCTTGCATATTGTGAAACCCATTACCATCAATTATTTGGAAATTTATGTTTCGTTTGCAATCAAGTTATTGCAGGAGATGGTAATACACTCAATACTAATACTATTTGATCTACTTTTTTATAATATTTTATTTATAGTTTTTACTGCTTTAAACAAAGCATGGTGTGTACATCACTTTGCTTGTTCATTTTGCGATCAAAAAATGACTCAAAAAACCAAATTTTATGAATGTGACTTAAAACCCGCATGTAAAAGATGTTACGATAAATTCCCTTCAGAATTCCGACGAAGATTACGCAAAGCATATGATAACACACCAAAAAAATCGACATCAGCTTAAATCATCCCATATTTTAGTAGTCTTATTAATATTTTTATTAAAATAGCTTACAAATTAACACTTCTAATAACAATCATAATTATTATATATGCTACTTTTTGATGTTTAAATTATACTTATAAATAATAAAATAATATTTAGTTTTGTTAGTTTCAAATAGCTAATATATTTTTCTAGGATTATCAAGTCATTGACTTTTTATAAACAAATAATTGGTTACTTACAATTTGTACACATTGTATTATTTTAAAAATATGATAGTGTATTTACTGATATAAATATTACTGCATTAATATATTATGTTATAATTAATAATACAATTATATAGTAAATAAAATATTTATTTTACCCAAAAAAATTGAAAATATTTTCAACTTCTGTATTTATAGAAACCTGATATATTTTATACAATTTTTTTTTAAACCTGACCCTCCAACTGCCCACAGGGGAGAATTTAAAATAGTACAATAGCACTCTTTCACAAAAGTCAATTTAGTTGAACTAAACTTTTTTAAATTATTCCGGATAGTCTACATTTTTTTTAATATATGTTATATTAAAGCTTATGATACATACTATAAGTTAAAAATAAATTTGCCTTGACACTTTATCTTCTACGTGCATATGACTGTAGAAGTTGAACAAATTTATTAAATATTTAATTAATAAATTTAAATGTATTCATATATAACACTTACATATCATAAAACTTGTAATTAAGGAAATAGGAGTTGATGTTTCTTTTGTAATTAAGCACAAATTTCTTAAAATTAAAGACTGTCTACAGATTTGTATCAAAACGTTTCTTATAATAGTAATTGTAACCATCTATTTTTGTCCCAACTATGTCACATCTACACTGTGGTACCATATTTTTAAATTTTATAATTTAAATCAAAATTTTAAAAAAAAGATGTCTTTAATATTAGATGGAGGGGCAAGTTCCCCCCTATTGACTGAGTCATGTAAATATTTTATCAAGCAATGCATAAAAATATTAATTATTTTATTATTGGTTTCTTTTAGTTCAATGTTTCTCTCAATTTATCAATCATACAGTATTTTTTTATGTTCATCCCTTTTAGCTTATTAGGGTATCAACTTTCATTTTTATAATAGCAATATTATAATAACAATACACATAATTAATTAGCTTATTTATTATATAATGATCTAATTAAGATAATCACTGGCCAATAACAACTTTTGGACCACTATTTCAGAAGTTAGTAATAATTTTAAGTAATGATTGGAGGTGAAGAGTGTGTGTTGCATTTTCAACCATACTCTTCCTGCCCCAAAGGAATAAACATGTCAATAACTTCAAAAATACTGGTCTAAAAGTTATTATTAATCAGTAATTTACTTAATTAAATCATATTCTGTAAAATAATATATTTTATGAATTCATTTTTGCAAGGAAGTATACTAATGAACATATATATTAGACAAAATATAAATGAAAACAATTGAAATTAATGGATTAATACTTAGCAGAACTGTGAACTATATTTATAATTTATATGAGTATTTCAAATATACTGAAATCTGAAGGTTATTCATAATAAGTTAATAAAATAATTTTTATAAAGGCTAGTTTAATCCCAGGACTCCTGTAATTATGTCTCTGGTTCAATTGCATTATTAACTTTTATAATAAATGTGCATACAATTCACAGCCTAGATAATTAATAATTATACAATATTAAACTACATTCATTGTACAGTATCAAGTTGTTTTAATAAGTCATTAGCATATTTTTCACTAAATTTCTACGTAAGTTCAATAAGTTATTTGAAAACAAAGTCCATTTTTAAATAAAGTTTAGCCAATCATGTTAATAGTTTTTTGTTACTGGATATTTCATACAAAAATTTAAATAATAAGTAGACACAACATATTGCTTTTTTTTATAGTTTAAACTGTATCATAATTGAAACCAAAAGTAAAAAAAATTGTTGACATATTGATTGAAATATTACCTAAATTTTAATATTAAAACATGCATTTATTACTATATTACAAAAAAAAAAAAAAAAATGCANNNGTCTTTTTTTTCTATAAAAAAAAAAAAAAAAAAAAAAATGCATAGACTAATATCAATTACTAATATTCATCATTTTTTTTGTTTCTTACCAGATTATATCCTTTAGGACTACATAAAATAGGTCATGATTTAAAATTTTCAAACAAATGATGACCAGTAATACTATTTTAACCTCAAATTTCAGCCTTTCTTATTTCAGTTATTTATTTACTTATTTCATTTTTTAATTTCCAGTGTTTTTTAACTAATCAAAGTTAGAAGACAACCCAATTGTTCTTAACCAAACTTTTGCGATTCAGCTTTATCTATTTTAATTTTTATATTAAATAAATAAATGAATTGTTAGTATTACCATGAATATAAAACATAAATGTTTGATAATATTATTACTAGAAAATGTTAAAATGTTTACGAAAAGTTTTTATTTTTTCTTTCACTTTCAATAGCATCTATGCTCTGAAGCTGGCGTAGAACATTATTCTGTGTCTTACATTCTTGTCAATACCACCGCTTTTGCACAACTGACCCTAAATACTTAAAACTTTCCACCTCTTCAATTACGTCCTCGCCTATTGTCACTGATCTCCTCACACTCCTGTATGTCACCTTTACCTTTAAATATCGGTTCCACAATACAATTTCTCCATTCATTTGGAATTTTCCCTTCTAATAAGATTTTATTATTAAAATTCCTTCAAGCATCTTATGCCAACATTGCCCAATATTTTCCATACTTCTACTGGCACTACATCTGGTCCTACTGCTTTATTCTTTTTCATTGATGCCACAGCTTCCCATACCTCTTTCTCGCTTTATATGAGATACAAATAGTAATATTAAAACTAATTTTTAATGTTCAAAAGCATGTATAATAGGGTGGAACGAAATATTGAAAATGTTGATAATTGAATTCTAATAGAAAAAAAAAGTTGCAGTTTAGTCTCCTGATTATGGGAGATAAAAAAAAAAAAAAATTTTTTTATATCTTCAGGTGCCGCAAGAGGGTTGAAAATTTGACTGTGAGGGTAATTTTTCCGTTTTTGTCACTTATCTTTTAATCTATTCTATTCACAGGAAAAATTATAGAATTAAACTTGTAGAACTAAATGTTTACCATGAAAAATGTTATTAGCAAAAAAGTCGTATGTATAATAGTCATTAAAATTAAAAAACAACACATTTTTATCTTTACCGTTGAAATCGTTTTTATTAGTTTATTTAAATATTGCAGACGAAATATTCAACATACAATAAAAATGTTCGTATAAAAATTGTTTAGAATTTAATTGTTTATAATTTTTGTTGTGTGTATCATATTTTTTACCAAACGTAGTTGTTTTAATAGAGTAATAGGGTGGATTGAATAACTAAATTTTGATTTTTAACTTTCTAATAGTTGGGGAAATATGTATTTTAGTTCCTATATATCACTTATAAAATTTCACTAGTCTAGTTTAAAATTAAGAAGTGCCGTAAGGCATTTGAAATATAGTAATATTGTTTTCTTATGATTACTGGGTTTTTCTATTTAAGCCCTATCTTATCTTAATAAGTTTATGATATGATAATATTTCATTGTCACTTCAATAAACGAACTTGATTTTGCATTTAATATCACTGTGCATTCGTACGGAGTCGTGTTTAGTTAATTTTATGCGCAACGTGTGTTAAATATTTGTTGAAAATGGCTGGTGTATTGACAAGAAATAAATCAAAATGTTTAATTTTTGGAGATGCTAAAGAACTTAGTAATAATGTATTACCAACTTATGAAGACGTTATGCAATATTATTTATATGTAAAACATCATCTTAAACTCAATATTACTTCAAAAGAGCCAAGTGTAAGCTCTATAGCTGAAATTGTAGCAACTAATATAGAAAATATATGGCACAAAGCATCAATTCCAATAGTATCATATAAATGTATTGATTTTAGTACTTGTATATGTGAAAAATCTCGAAAAGTTCCACATATTGAACAAATATTTATTAAAGATCAAAGAACAACCAGAAAAATGTTTATATCTTTAGTTGACATTTCAACTACTAAAAAGTTTCAAAAAAAAGCTATAAGAAAAGAAGTTGATGCAAATCGAATTGAAAGGCATAAGTTATTAAAAACTTATGATAAATCTAAATTAGATGAAGTTAATATTGAATTTGATGAATCTGTTGAAGTTTATGATGAATATAATAATTCTGACGAAGATTTTACAATAACTTCAAAATCATCAACATCAACGTCATCTGATAAAGANCTTCAAAACCATCAACATCGTCATCTAATATAAAAAACTCACAGATGAGACTTAAGTTACCGGCTCTAGCTTTGGCTTGCGATAGAACTGGAATTTCAGATGGATCAGCTGCTAAAATTGCAAGTGCTGTACTTCAGGATATTGGTATTATTTCAGTCGATAATAAAAACAGTGTTGTAGATAGAATGAAAGCCCGAAAAGCAAGAGAAAAAAAACGTTTAGATTTACAAAAACTAGAAAATGAACTTATTTTAGGATTATATTTTGATGGGCGTAAAGATAAAACTATAATAAATCATCAAGAGGGAACTAAATATTATAGAAAAATTATCACTGAAGAACATATATCACTTATTCAAGAACCAGGATCGAAATACATTGGCCATACAACACCAACAAGCGGATCTGCTTTAGAAATTAAAAATAGTATTATTCATTTTTTGGAAACAAATAATTTAAGTACTTCACAAATTATTGCAATTGGTTGTGATGGCACAGTTACCAACACCGGTTTTAAAACAGGAGTAATTCGTCAAATAGAAGAATATTTAAAAAAACCTCTGCAGTGGCTTGTTTGTTTACTCCATGCTAACGAGCTTCCCTTGCGTCATTTATTCAATCACCTAGATGGGAAAACATCAGGGCCAATTGGATTTTCCGGATCACTAGGCAAACAATTAGAAATATGTCACAAACTTCCAGTAGTTAAATTTGTTCGTATTGAAGGCAACTTACCTTTTTTAAAAAATGAAGTTGATTTAAGCAGTGATCAAAAATATTTGTTTGAAATATGTCAAAGTATTTCTAGTGGTAAGTGTAGTATTGATTTATCTAGAAGAAATCCATGGAAGCTAGCCCACTCTAGGTGGCTTACTACTGCAAATCGAATTTTATGTCTATATATTAGTACGAGTTCTCCAACAGAAAATTTTAACAGAATTTATTTTAAAAGTGTATGGTCCCATGTGGTTTCATATAAAAATTAATCCATTTTGTATATCTGGATCAAAACATCTTTGGAGGACCATAAAATTTTCACGGTATCTACCTAATAACTTATTAAAAATTATTGACCCTGTTATTAAACGAAATGCGTATTTTGGCTCACCTGAAAATATACTGATATGTATGTTACTCGATAATCGTTACGCCATCAGAAAAAAAGCTTTGTCCAAAATTATTAATGCTCGGCAGAATAAAAATGATCGATCGATTCGCTCTTTTGAAATCCCACCGTTAAATTTTAATGCTACAGACTACGTTGAACTGATTGATTGGGGAAAAAATCAAGTCACTGAACCTCCACTTACATCAATCATTGATTANCACTGAACCTCCACTTACATCAAACATTGATCAAGACACCTTAAGACAGGTATAATTTTTTGTTCACTTAATTTTTATAATAACTTAAATTTCAATTGTATTTTAGATTGTATTAAGTCACAAGAAGAACACCTTAGAAATTTTTTATTTACCTTGTCATAAACAAGCTGTTGAAAGAAGCGTAAAATTAGTAACAGAAACATCTGCAGCTGTATGCGGACAAGATAGAAGGGATGGTGTTATAAGAACTAGGATTGAGTCTCGTAGGATTATGCCTTATTTTAATTCCAAAAAATATTTTCAATTTAATTAAGTTAATGTTTTTACTTATATAAAAATTTAATACATTACAATAAATCAAAAATACATTTAAAACTCTTAAGTAATGTGTTCTGTAAATTTCGTAAAATTTTGTAATCATTTGAATATTGTGATTATTTATACCTACACCCAGAGAAAAACCTCGATCTATATAATAAATTCATGGTTCAATTTGATAAATATATCATTACTATTGAATCAATGATATATTTATCAATATGATATTTTTTTTTCTTGTCTTGAACAATAATTATTTATAAGAATAGTTATTTTGTTCGTATTAATAAAACATTATCATAAACCCTTGATAAAATTTCTCTTTCAATTTTGATTGAGGTTTTTCTTTGGGTGCATATTTGATTATGGACCACAACTTTCTAGTAATATTAGAATTTGCAAAATAAAATTTGTTTTCGTTCAACTCTACTATTAATATTCCTAAAAATCTATTTTTTTTTTTTAAGGTGATTTAAATAAAAAAATATCCGGTCGATAAAAAAATTTGAACCAATATTTTAAAAGATATTAACACTTTTATACTAAGTTGGAGGGAAAAAGACTTTTTTGCAAACTAATACTTGATTATAACAACTACGTTTGGTAAAAAATATGATACACACAACAAAAATTATAAGCAATCAAATTCTAAACAATTTTTATACGAACATTTTTATTGTATGTTGAATATTTCGTCTGCAATATTTAAATAAACTAATAAAAACGATTTCAACGGTAAAGATAAAAATATGTTGTTCTTTAATTTTAATGACTAAGTATTAAACATGCGGCTTTTTTGCTAATAACATTTTTTATGGTAAACATTTAGTTCTACAAGTTGAGTTCTATAATTTTTCCTGTGAATAGAATAGATTAAAAGATAAGTGACAAAAACGAAAAAATTACCCTCACAGTCAAATTTTCAACCCTCTTGCGGCACCTGAAGATATTTAAATTTTATTTTTTTTTTATCTCCCATAATCAGGAGACTAAACTGCAACTTTTTTTTTCTATTAGAATTCAATTATCAACATTTTCAATATTTCGTTCCACCCTAATGTATAATCCTGTTTTTTTTTTTATTATATATTATTAATAGTATTAAAATTCAAATTTAAAAAATACCTATTAGTAAATAAAATAATGCTGAGGTAACATGTATTAAAAACTTTTACATACGCAATTTTTTTTAATTTTGAACTAATTTGTTTAATTTATAAATATTATAATCTGTTTTTATTTAAAATACATTGGTTATTAAAAGGGTAGATATTTCAAATATCAAATAGGTACCATAATCTGTTTTCTTTAATATTTATTTTAAGCTATATCTTATGGCATGTCTCAGTGTCCCAAAAGTCTGCACACAGTGAGACACCATAACTATTAAAAAATAAAAGTTTTATAATTTGAAAAAGTGATTTAATTATTAAATTTATTGATGGGTATTTGAAAAATTTATTTATTTGCATTTATTATTATTATTATTAATTAAATAAATAATATGATAATTTTTGAAAAAAATATAAATTAATATAATAGTTTTAAACCTATATCCTTCCTCTTCTTTTGGAAATATTTTAATGATAATTGAAGAAATTTTTGGAAAATAGAAATCAGTTCCCCTAAAAACAAATATTTCATATAACATAAGTTTAATAAATAGAAATATTAAATTAATATAAAACTAATGGTCTAAGATTATTTTATCTAGTAACTATATGTTTACATGCACATAAACTATTTAACTTACACCCATACATTTTTAATTTATAATAAATATTTAAAATAATATAGTGTATATTACCGAGCTTTGCCTTGAAATAAATAATTTTTTAAAAGATTCGGACGTGTATTTTAAGCATCATCAGATAAATGTACATGGTTTAATTTTGCATCTATCAAAATAAAACGACCATAATTAATTGAATGCAGCAAGGTCGTAATAGACTAAAAGTAATACATATTAATTTATAATTTGTCATAATTAAAGAATATAATGTTATTAGTGTATTATCTGCAAAGACCATTCTATTGGTTTATATGTTCCATACTTGGAATTTGATTCAGAGATGAATATGAGGAAAATCTATTAGAATTAGATTTCACATTTACACTATCATTACTTTCATTACTATTTAAAACACTTCCTACATTGATAATTCCATCCAAATTTTTATATTCTGTCAAATGACAGCTACAATTATTTAAAAAATCACTTATTTATATTTAGAATAATAAAAGTGTAACAGTCAAAACAGCTAAAAGCAATAGTTAAATACTATAATTAAAAAAATGTACAAGTTATAGATATATAAGAACCTCAGTAAAGTTAGTATTGATTTCCATGACTGAAGTAAAACTGTTGAGTTACCATATTTTAAAAATTATAATTAAAATAACTTAAACGTATATGATTACGCTCCGAATTAACAAAGCACACAAAATAGGAAATCATGATTTTAAGTAAATATTAATTAACAAATTCTAGATTAGAGATTATGTAATATTATGTTTACAGTGATGTTTTGTCTGGTGAATATTTATTATTAGTGATTATTACTTATTTGCCCTTCTAAAAATAACGACTTTAAAATTAGTTGCTTACAATGGTATGTAGTATTTTATTTTCGTGCAGAATAAATGCAAAAAATTTAATGTTGAAAATTACGCAGTTTATGACTTTTCCATAATATGTAAATGATAAATTTTGAAACTCTATAAGTGGTGTTAAAATTATATTATCTTAATATTACCAAAAGAGCATAATAAATAAATAGTCAGAAACAAGGTGTAATAGTATCAAAGCAACAAAGTTTCATGTCACATTCAAGAAATTATTGATGCGTTAGATGAAATATTATATACTACACATGATCCGCTAATTAAAAATCACACTAATTCATTAAATTCGGAGATTAGTACAATAGAAATCCTTATGAGTTTATATATTTGGTATAAATTATTTGTATACTACAGCATAGTAGTCGAAGAATCAACAATATCTATTGATGTAATTAACTTTATGAAGAAAAGTAATGGAGCTATTCCGAACTTAGCCATTGCTCCTAGGATTTTATTATGAGTCCCAATAACTTAATCTACTACAGAAAGCAGAATAAATACAAGAAATTAAAATTGAGTGTTGAAAATTACGTAGTTTGATAATTTTCCATAATACGCAAATTGTAAATTTTTTAAATTCCGTAAGTAGCGTGTTAAAATTATTTCTCCATCATAAAATTTTCATCAGATGTTTTAATTGCCTAAAGGAAAGTACTATGTAAATTTGAAAAAATTCGTTCAGTCACTTTTGTACAATGAGATGATAAAGTTGGCTATTTTCAGCAAACCTTGCATGTTCAAGACCGTAAAACGATACAAAAAAAATTATAAATCGATTCAAATATGATATGGGTTAAAAGAACATTACAAAAAATTTCAGAAAAGAAAAAAAAAATTTTAATTAAAAAATTTTTTGATCTTCAAATTTTGCTATTAAAATACTGCAAAATTTATTAACTTAAAAATGAAATTGAAGTACTATTGAATATGAGTAAAACAGTGCTAGATCCAAAGTGATAGCTTATTTGGATGTGAAGTTATAGGCTCTAGAACATAGGCTGTTTTTTCATGTTTTTAATTATAAAAAATGCACTATCTGGTAAAAAAACAATAAAAAAATATATATATATATTACTTTTGTTGTCAATGACCTTTAAGAAGTCTATGATATAAATTTCATAAATTTCTGAACTATACTAGCACACACATTTGGTGATTTCACATGGAATGACCCAATAACACTCAGTCTGATAAAATCAAAACAGTTCTAATATTATAGATTGGCGTATAGTATTTATATTACAATAACAATTTTAATATTCACGTTTACATTTTATTTTTTTTTAGCTGATATTGACTTGTGTTCATATCAAATAATCTGTATTTACGGTGACTACCGTGAAATGTCAGAATAAATGAAAATAACCATAAGCTTGACATTTTAGCTTCAACGCCCCTATATATTGTTAAAACAACACCGAGATTTCTATACGTGTATAACAATTAAATTTAAATAATTTGTGACATTATATAAATAATTAATTTTTTATCATATATACTGGATTTTAAGGAATTGTTCAATGAAGTATTAGGCTAAAATAATTGTAATTTTTCGAAAAGCGGTTAATCATAAATTTATATATCAAAAGTCTAGCGACGAAATGTCCTAGACCCCAATTTTTACTAANCATAAATTTATATATCAAAAGTCTAGCGACGAAATGTCCTAAGAGTATTTTGGACAACTGTAGTTCTTAGAAAAAAATTAGTTATTTAGGATTTGAGAAGTAAGATGTAATAAATTATCGATCAGGATCGGATTACTGAATAAAATAAGCATTAATAATGTAACGATTACCACCGGTCTTTTACCCAGAGGATTTAAAATGAATCTATTGCTGTTGATATCAAACTACAATAATTAATTTACAGAACTTTTATAATTAGGAGGGTGTCTTCGTAGTTATGATAAGATTTCATACAAACAACCTTTAAATAATATTTATACAAACAAAAGTAATTATAATTCGATCCGACCTGCTAATCACGTGTTATTTCTCGCGTACCCCGTCGTCTATGGCCTTAACTAGATTGTCGTAATGCATTCACCCCACCCCGCTCACCAAACTACTGCAACACTATTCCTGTATAATTTTATTTTTGGTTTTCGTACCTATACAAGCGTGCATGTCATCAACATTGTATATATATATACATATAAACAAATTTTTATTGTTTATTAGATATAATCATTTAAAGATTCAAATCTTTTTGAGTTAATATACATGTATAATACAAAAGGGATTACAAATACAGGTAGCTAATTGGTTTTTTATGACGATATTCGCAGGTATATAACCTTTATTATCAACGGTAATAAGACACATTGTTGCGAGTTTATAAATACACTAACTGGCAATACAGAAATTGTATCTATTGATAGTCATAATTATCATTAAACACTCCGTGACTGTGACAGCGATGTCATAAAAAACTAATAAGTAAAATACATCGAACTAAAAAGTTAAAAATAATTTTTGAAATAAGCTAAAAACAATAATTAACGAAAAATACTAATATTATTTTTTAAATTTTTAGTTTAATGTGCTTTAAAAGCGTGTGTTTTTTTTTTAAACTATATTTATTTTTAATTAAAAAACGAAAAGAATTATAATAGGCAAACGACCTCATGTACTTAATTTACGGTGGGTAATCGAAAACCGCATATAGTAACACCACTTCGCACACTCAACAAAGCGTGACAACTGCATGGGTTTTAAATAGTGATGGGCATAATCGAGATATATAATCGAGATATCTCGATTATGAAAATAATCGAGATATTTTGATTATTGAAATCATATCAATTATATAATCGAGATATTCTGATTTTTTTAATAAATAATATTAGAATAATATTGATTATTCTATAATCGAGTGATTATTTCTAATGATTTCTCGTTTATTATAAAAACAATGATTTCTTGATCTTGAAATGTATATAATCGAATAAAAGTTATTTCGAATGATGTCCATGAAACGATGAAACGAGAGAATACTATTTTTAAGTTTTTATTTAGCATAAATTATAGTCGAATTATTATTAAATTGTTGACTTCGAGTCTTATTTTCAACTCGTTCAATCGCTACTCATGGCAACACCTTATCTGTCACATTTTTGGGAAGTATGTGACGATTAGAACAAAGTTTTGTCCTGAACTGGCTAAACTACTGAGTTCTGATTCTCTCACTAGTTGTGAATTTATGAAAAATCAATTAGGTGTTTTAATTATGATGGTCAAGCAGGCTATTGCTACCTTATCTTATGTTTTTATTTTTAAATTTGTTATCGGTTTTTTTAAAATATAGGTAATAATTATTAAATAAAAAAAAAAACAACTTGTCTTTTATTTAAAGCACTTATTAATAATGCACTATTAAAATATTATTGTTATTATTATTCCTAAATTATAGTTTAATATATCAATTATAAATAAACACCAACAAATAAAAAAAGCAAAATTAAATTAATAATTATTTATTATAGGTATATTTATTCATACTACTTATAATTTTTCGATTCTCTCGATAAATAATAATAGTTGATTATTCTTATCATAGGAGCAGACGATTTTAACTTCGAGTGATTTTTCGAGAGATTCACTCGATTATAAAAATGTCTCGATTACTAATCATTCGATTATCGAAATCATTCGATATTATGCCCATCACTAGTTTTAAACGTCACCGTCACAACTAGTCGTTGGAAAAAGCTGGTGTCAAAAACAGCTGATAAGAACCAGTTGTCAGCTGTATCTACATATCTTGATAGCTGTATCTACATCACACCATATCTACCGGCTTAAACAGTTAATAATAAACCAACTAGATGATAGTGATGGGAAAAAATAACAGTAACAGTGACTTGAAACAGTTACTGCCATTACAATCTGTTACTTGGAAAAAATAATAACAGTTAATATTATTTTATTTTTTACACAAGGTGGATTCATTTGATCATTGGCGGCTCGTGGCTTGGACGATCGCACCCATACTAAAATTAATTAAAAGAAGAAAATTCATTGTATATTCATAATTCTATATTTTTATTAAAAATGCAAATTTTTAAATAGTAAAATAGTTATAGTACATTTGTCGTGTGTTAACATTAAAGTTGTTTCCCTCAGTAAATACAGGTATGCATGCACACACGAGCAGTGTTTGGACGACCGACAGCGTCGCCAGAACAATATTTTGAAATGTATATTATAAACGAGGCACCGATTCATGTGTATAAATTACATTTAATTTGACAATTTTTTATATATATAAC